TGTAATTTCCATTTTAAGCTCTATAACCTACAAACTCTTTGTTAGTCAAAAAGGTAACTAATATTTCGCACAGTGCATTCGCATTGAATATTGTTTGAGCATTTTTGGAAAATCATTCCTATTATCAAAAGTCATTGACACCCTTTTATTTATTTTTACATTTATTGTTTTTCCTCGCATCTCCCTCCCCCCGCCTAATATCCAAGCGATAATCGCTTACATGCCACTTGTCCTTGTGCTGAAGGGGATGCTCAAGGATGATGGTCGAGAGGGGAGGCAGGACCGTACGAAGGACGATACGATGCCGTGAAATAAGGATTAATGGTGTACACGATTATTTGTGCCGGGTGACTGAGAGACAGACAGACGGTCGGTCGGTTGGTCGGTCGGTCGGTAGGACGAACAAACATATTAAAAAATACAATACGAAAACTGTCGCGATGCGAGGGCGCAAGGATATTCATGGGGTGGCGTAGGTCGTAGGTCGAATTTAATAAAACTCTCCTTCTCAAGTGTTTATCCTGCAGATGCGAAGATACGAAGGGGATGCTGGTTGCGATTTCGCCACGCTTCTGGTTGGCTGGCCGAGTTCACTTGCCATCTCCTGTCGGCTTTTCCTTTTGCCGAGGGGTGCGCACTGCTCACTGTTTAGTGCCTTTGCCTGACAATTGTCTGTGCCCCCGCCCAGCCCGAGGATTTCCCTTTCTTTCTCGTATGATGAAGAATTTATTTGAAAATTAAGAAGACAAATTATTTAATTTCGACTTTATGAGCTTTTCTCCCCTCCCGATCTGCCACTGTGCCGCCCAGCTGCCATTATTACCCAAACCCATTCGAGTGCTTTAATTTTAAATGCAAAACGGACGATAGGGTTTTCCATGGAAAAGGGTTCGCTTGGCGGACGCCATTTTGGAGCGCGGAAAAGGCGCTTTGCATTTTATGCCCGACGCGGTAATAAACACGCAGCTAAGGCTTAGAATATAAAGTGAAGTGGAATGGGCCATCGGACTTGGCACGAGCACGCCACAAACTTAATTTCATTTAGTTTTATGTACATTTCATTAAGCAAAAAATGTCCAGGCATCGCGACGGCGACCAACATTCAAGTGTCCGGACTTTGGACTAGGTCCTGCATATAAACCCGACTATGGCAGCTATATAGCTACAGCTACAGATATAGCGTGGCGATGGCTATGGGCTATGGGCAATGGCGACTTGGGGACAATCAAGATAAATAGCAAACGGAATTTTTATTGCCGAAAGGATACGACGAAGGGCGAAACAAAAGGCAGCCCAAAGAGTTGAAAGTGTTGACGTGACTACTGTGTCCTGTGGCCTTTGTCCTCGATGTGTGTGCACCCAGGATAGTCTCACAAAGTCTCACAGTCAACACACACACACACACACACACTCATGGCCACGGAAAATTGTCAGAATGTTTTGTATTTTCCAAATTTATTGCCGGTGGCCGCATTTTGTTGTCGCTGCGACCATAGATTATCTCATCGTTTAGGAGGGCCTAATATGCGCCGGAGGCAGTCGCAATATGATTTATCGTTAACCTACCGATATATGATCGTTCCGGGTTTGTTTACCTATCCTTTACCTTTACCTTTGCCTCTGCCTTTACTTTATCCTTCCACCTTGACACTTTCAGCAGCTCCAGCTGCGAGCCGAACATTTTTAATTACGCTTTTTACAAGAAAATTAAATGGCAACATGTCATCACTAATTAAATTGTTCTTCTCTTCGGTTTCCCAGTTCTTCATGGTTATCCTGCAGGAGTGTGAGCGCATGTGTGTGTGTTTGTGGAAAACAAGGAAAGCGTTGGAAGGGGGAAAAAGGGTTGTGCTAGATGACTGCGTTGATAATGCCAGGGAAATACATTTATCAAACGGGGCGATAGTGCGGGATAGGGCACGGGCTATTATGTTGTTTGTGGAGCACAATTTTTAAACTATATATGTCACTGGTTGTTAATGATTCGTCATTTCAATTAATGAAAATTATACTCGCCATAAAGGTTAACGAAAACCATTGGAAAATATAAGGGTCCTAATTGTCCTTAATGTTCTTATTGTTTAAGTAATTAATTGTTTAAAATAATACTATACTGAAAATGATACAAAACAAAAGGATACAAAAGTTTGATGAAATTAAGAATAAAGCGAATAAATTCAATTTAATGAAATTGGGATTTTAAAAATCTACTCATAATTTAAGTTTGTTTCTTTGATTATTAAAGTCAAGTTTTTTATCCTTATGTCAAAAAACTGAAATGACAAAAAAAAATATAAAATACGACAAAAAGTTGCAAATGTTATATTTCAATTTAATTTAATATTTAATAATTCAATAAATGTTTAAAGTATCAGTGCGTTATATAAAATAGTTTTATTGAATTTAATTTTTTGAATTCTAATTTAAATGTTGGCGGGATAAAGACCATTTACAACACTATGGAAAAAAATAGAACTGGTTTGATAGACAGTCATCGGGGTATCTCCAAGTTTCGAGCCATGGTTTCGGACCAAGCTATTTTTAAAAAAATTCCTTTTTAGCCGTGTTAAGCACCTATCGTTCTTTCCGTATATTCAAAAAAAAGTAATCGATTGCCAGCACAGAAATCGATAGCTTGAAATTTCTAGCAGAATCGATATTACCATACACACATCGATTTTTGTTCCAGCTCTATTTCGTGGAACCTTTGCGTGATTTGCTATACGAAATTACTCAAGTAAAGGTTAGTAGAAATAATTTGAAAAGTAAGCTCCGTGACAGTTCTCTCTTTATCATTTGACGGAAAACTGAAAGTCTACTAAGTTGCAAGTGGATTTTTCGTATTTTAGCCTTAAAATTTTCCACGATGTGCAAGAGAAAACCGATTAGATGATGTGTGTGTATAAGTGTGTGTCTGTGTAGACGTCCTCGTTTCTTCATGGCGAAAAAGTCAAGCTGTGAAATCAATAAAAGTGCGAAAACCCCATAGATGCCTTCGTCACTCGGATGTGGTGATAATTTTCAGAAACAAGTAGGCAAATAATGCAGCAAACAAAAATTTTAATCTATGAATCACTCTGAGAGAAAAAAACACAAAGAAAGTTTTACTCGCATGAGTGTGTGTATATATGTAGGTACACATATTTATGCCACAAAATGGCGGCGGCACATCGGAAAATCTCAAATGCTGTTGACGTTGCTGCTGTTCGAGTTATCTGTGGTGCCACCACCTTCCCCCTGGAAGACAATACACCCCTGAAGTTGGAATTTCTTTTTATTCCATCTTCACAGCTTCACTTTTGGCGTGTGCCTTCCAGTTGCTCTCTGATCTCTCATACACAGACTTATATGGCTTTGATTATGTGTGGGTGCACTTTGTTCGTCTTGCTTTCGTCACTAGGAAATATAGCGCCTTGTGTTTTTGGGATTTTCAAGATATTTGCTCTTAAAGCCTTCAAAATAAAAAAAGAAGTACATATTGCAATGTGGGTGTGCCACTTGGCCAGTTAAATATGCAGACAGCGACAAACACTTGTACCCGAGAGCCGAACGCTCGAATTGAGGTCAAAATCATCCACAACTGGGTCTGGGATATGGAAAGAGGGGGTGACTTCTCGGGTCGGGGTCGACGCCTCAATGCAGCAGAGGGTGGGTTTTCGCATTGGGGGTGTTTAGTTTGACTTAGCTTTCCGAAGACGACATTATTGCAGGCTCAAAAATATGTATATACCCGGACAAAGACCAATTGCAGGGTTGTTAGAGAACTATAGAAAGAGGCCTTGTCGTCATCGTCCTATCGCCAATCAATTAAGCCAAACAATATAAAAGTGACTCAGCTAATCAGCTTTTGCAACCCCCCATTTTTTGATGCGCCTCTGTTTATTTCCCGGGGTCAAGAGACTTTAATTCCATGGCGCAGAATACCAGCATCGTATGTGAGCGGGATGGATAATTGGTTGGAAAGTGGCGAAGGGGGAGAGAAGAGAGCAAGATCCCCAAAGCTGGGGCCATAAACCCCAACACAAAGAAAGGACACTGACACACCGACGCAGCTTTTAGTTCATACTTCTGTGTGTGTGTGTGTGCTTCTTTGTGGGAAGAGAGAGAGCCAAACAAAGAAAACGGGAACAAAGAACTTCAGGCCATAACAAATGACTCAATCTAGCGAAAGTAGCTTGGCAAAAAAAAATTTTGCTAAGCAACTGCTAAAAGCCAGTTGGCATTGATTAAACCTGTGATTAATTAGAATCTTCCCCGAACTTTATGTTTAGATATGGCAATGCCATACACATGCACATACATATGGAAGTGGGGAGAATGCGGCAGTGCCGTTTCAATTGGCGGGAGAGAGTGGAAGTGAAATAAACTTGAAGGTGCTCATCGAGGTTATTTCCATTAAATGCATATTTTCCAGTTTGCCTGTCAGGTGCTGTTATTGTTATTGTTGCTGCTGTTATTCGCAGTGAAATCGAGTGTAAACAAAAACAATCGTTTGGGATTTGTAATTTACGACGATCATTTAAAATAATCCCACTTAGCACATACATACATATATCAGTTTTCTTTTGTATTTTTGTCATACATGTACGTATTATAGTTGAATCGTCTAGTCCTAGATTCATTTTTCGTGTACCCTGTATATTTTTAGTCTTTCCTATTCTTAACTTTTCTTTTATTAATTCCACGGTTTCGGCCTCTCCTGTTTCCCCCACACGATTACTCCCCAGGATTCCCTAAACGAAAAGCAATACCCAGTGTGACGTAACGAAACGGAGAGATCAATCCCAGGTGTTACCACGCAGGACTTCTAACTTCTAACCGAAAGGGACAGATCAGGGAAAATCGGAATCAGGAGCTGTCAACGGGATAATCCAAACATCCATAAACCACTTGTCTGTGTGTACGTACGCGTGTGTGTGTTAGATTTGTGTGCGTTTCGTCGAGTGTCCCGAAGGATCATCAGAACCACCGACCACCAGACCAGGATCACAGGACCATAAACAGATCTAGATCCCCAGAAAACGGGGAAATCAATCAAGACGCCAACAGGAATTCGCTCCGTGCCACCCAAGCACGTATACATTTCGTCCCCGAGCCGATCCAGAAAAGCATCCACCATTCCTCTATCAACGTACAACGCCGCTCCCCTTTTGCACTCTTACGACGACAGTCCGCAGCGTTGGTCAGGAGTCACCAACGGGCACCAGGCAGGCGTCATCATAGATCAGTTCCGGGGCGGTAAAGCGATCACCATTGAGGGAGGCACCAGCACCGGTGATACGACGAGCATCGGCGGCGGCAGCGATTTACGACTGGTAATAACGGCCAATCCCAGTGAGATCGAGCGCAATTACGAGCAGCCAACCAATCGCGGTGGTGGCGGAGGCGGCGGCGTTATCGGCGTCAGCTGCGGTGGCCAAACCCCACCGACACCCACGGTCGGCAAAACACTGCTCAACACCAGTCCAAATCTCTTGCCGATCACTACAGCGACCGATACGTTTAATAACCTCAAGAATTTGGTGAAAATCGACAAGGGTTCCTCGCCATCGTCGGGATCGAATCCGCAAGGAAGCGGCAATTACCGTAAAGGCGGTTCCAACGGTTCAGGCTTCAAGAGCGCCGGCGGCAACGGAGGATCTCCGGCCATAAGCGGCAACAGCGAGGGCGGCAGAAACGGCAGCCGATCATCTGGTGGACCAACCGGACACTTTTCAACTGGCTATAGCAAGAATTCCGCCAAAATTCGCCAACACGATAGTGAGGTAAGCCCAAGACCTCGACGATCTTACCAGGGTGACTCGTCGTCGTCGCGTTACTATCCGAAGAATAGTGACATTTTGGGTCAAGGTTTAAGCGGCAGCTCCGATAGCTACAACGGAAGCTCCTCATCCGGTAGATACCAGCAGCAGGACCAGCAAGGCGGTTCACATCGTGGTAGTCGCAACAACTATCACTCCAACTCCGATGGAAACTACAATCGATCAATAAACTCAAACTCCGTAGGTGGAGGCTCTGGGGCAGTCGGCTCTGGAAGCGGTGGCAGCAATTATCGCTCCGCCCGCAACTACGAGAACGGCAATGGGAGCAACGGCCCACAGTCACGTTACGGCAGCGGCAACGGGAACGGCAACAGCAACAACTCCTCATCCGGCTACAACGGATCAGCAGCAAGCTCAACCAACAACAGCAAGTCATCATATGGGCCTTCGCGCGGTAGCAATGATGGAGGCGTGAGTGGCGGATACAGCAACAATTACCGCGACAGCTACGAGGATTCACCATCGCATCAGCGCTATAACAACACCAACAGCCTAGAGCGGAACGGAGGAGGGATAGGAGCGAGCGGAGGACCTCGCAGCTACGGCAGGTCGGAGGCGGATCGTTACGGAGGAGCACCGGCCAGTCGCACACCTACTCTTCGCAACGGTAATGCATCTTCTCAAAACTCGAGCTCTACTTCCAACTCTTCGAATATTTCTTTGAACTCCGGGTCAGCGGCGACAGCAGGAGCAGCAACTCCGCATTCACAACAGCAGCAGGAGCGATCCCAGGCTGGCAAGGCAAGCACTCCGCCACCGATCACCGGGCGCTGGATACCACCATCGCTGCGTCCGCAGCATGGACTTACCCAAAGCGAGAAAAACGACGCCGTGTTTCGGCGCGTGAGGGGTATTCTAAATAAGCTAACGCCCGAGAAGTTCCAGGAGCTGAGCGACGAACTGCTAAAGCTAGACCTCAACTCTATTGTAATTCTGAACGGCGTTATATTGCTGATATTTGACAAGGCCTTGGACGAGCCGAAGTACTCGTCTATGTACGCGCAGCTTTGCAAGCGACTGTCCGAAGAAGCCCCATCATTCGATAAGGAACCAAACAATTCGTGCACCTTTTTGCGCCTGCTGATCGCCGTTTGCCGTGACAAGTTTAATAACCGATTGAAGCGCGACGAGAACGATAACCGACCACCTCCTGAAAATGAAGCCGACGAAGAGGAGCGCCGCCATTTGGCCAAACAGCGCATGCTCGGCAACGTTAAATTCATCGGAGAGCTTAACAAGCTCGACATGCTGTCGAAGACCGTGCTGCATCAGTGCATCATGGAGCTATTGGACAAGAAGAAGAAGCGTACGGCCGGTGCGCAGGAAATGTGCGAGGACATGGAATGCTTGGCTCAGCTGCTCAAGACTTGCGGCAAGAATCTGGATTCAGAACAGGGCAAAGAGCTGATGAACCAGTATTTCGAGACGCTTGAACGTCGGTCAAAGTCATCTGAATATCCACCGCGGATACGCTTCATGCTAAAGGACGTCATCGAACTGCGCCAGAACCAATGGGTGCCGCGCAAGCTGGGCACCACTGAAGGCCCCGTCCCCATAAAGCAAATACGCTCGGACGACGACTCGATTATTCGTACCCCGTTCCCCAATCGCAACCGGGATATGCGTAACAACGATCGCGACTCTGACAGTTGGATGAATCGGTTCCATCTGAATATCCAGCCAGGCGGCTATAACGACATGTTTAGTGGACTGAGTGTCACTGGAGCTTCTCCGATTGTCTCACCGTAAGTTCTATATAATTGTCATGGAATGTGTTGGAAGCCGAACCATTTTGACTTGAGTGTTGTCTAACGATTTTTTCAAACAATTGTAGATGTAGTGACGACCCCGAGTTTCACTAACTTTTTCTTTTATGTATTTTAGGTTCGCTACCAGCAATCGTGACCGAGATCGCGACAATCGCCAGTATAACAATCGTGGCGATCGCAACCGGGATCGCGACCAAGGCGGTAGCGGCGGAGCCAATTATGGCAATCGATACAACAAGCACAACCAGAACGGAGGAGGCAGTGGCGGAGGTGGTTCCTCTAACAACCGAGACAGGGATGATTCACGTAGGAATAACGATCGCGACCGAGATCGCAATGATGGACAATATGGGGGCAATCAGCTGCTGGGTAGCAAGGAGTTGGCACCGAGGTTCAAACGCAATTTGATCACCACGAACCAGGATGCGGTGGAAAACTTGCAAATGCGCCCGGCGGCCAACTCCTTGCTCTTCCGAGCGGCCTCCCAGAACCAAAAGTTCCCGACTACGTTGCCCATGTCCACACCTCCCAACAGCAGCAGCAACAACAACCAAGGCAGCTCACAAGGCAAGGATCAAGGCCAACTGTCGAATTCGCACTACCCGATGTTGGGCACTCCTACTTCCCATCTGACAAATCCAACACGACCCTCGTCAACACCATCCGCTGAATACGCTGATAACCGAACTCTTTTGGGATTGCAGAACGATAGAGGCCTAAAGGCCACGTCTTCATCGCCAAACTTTGTATCGGGAGCGGAAAAGTTGAGTGAGCAGACGGACAGTCAGGCGGGCAGGAAGGGCTCCCACGACGGCAAAGATCAGGCCAAGAATGGTTCCGTGGAGAGACCAAGCACCCCGGCCGGCACTACTGGGTCGGCAAAGCAGCAAAAGAAGGACAAGGGTCCTAATAAGGAGGAACTGTCGAAGAAGGCCAGCCAGTTCTTTAAAGACAGGTTCTATTATGACGAGGAGGAGAAGGCAGATGACGAGGTGAAGGAAGTTGATAGTGAAAAAGCGGCGGAAACGGAAGATGCGCCAGCTGAAGATTCAGAGGTAAAGGAAGAAACTGCCACACCTGCTAGCACTCCAGATCGCTTTTCCGAGCTTGTGGATGGTTTCCTTGAGTTAAAGCTACCAGAGAAGTCGCTGAAGGATGTCTGCATCAATCTGCTGATGGATGTTTTGGACCGTGTGAACGATGTCTATCTGGAACGTGTTGTGCGGCTCTTGCAGACATTGCGCAAACAGTCCAATATCAAGACGAACATTGTGGTCGAGGTTTTCAAGCAGCTCGTTAATAAGATGAACGAGAGGGAGGCCCTTAATCCCCGGATCGCTTCCCTCGTGGCCAGTGTCCTAGCAAAGACCGTATGCGAACCGGCCCTCTTGAAGCTGAATGATATCGCAAACTACACCGATAACGGACAGCATTATCCACTCTTCCTGCTTGTCCTGCAGCAGCTGGTCAAGCTTATTGGTAAGGATGCGCTGGAAGAGAAATTCAGGGCGAGCAAAGTGGATTTGATTAATAGCCTGCCGGAGGCGGATCGGAATAAGGAGCGACTAGCCGAGATTCTCGAGGACCGTCAGCTGTCCTTCCTTTATCCGCTTTTGAAGGTACAGGCCGAGATGCTGAAGCAACTGCAAAGCGATCCCAACCCCAACAACTTCTACAAGTGGATTAAGGCCAACGTGGACAACAAGTACTACAAGGACCCGGGTTTCATTCAAGCCCTCATGACCGTGGTGGTCAAGTACGTGACCAAGGAGACGACGCTGGCGGCAAACCTTGACCCCAAGGAGCACCCGGAGAAATCGGTGACTCAAAAGGAGCAGCAATTGTTGGAGAACTACAGCCAGATGTTGCAGACTTTCCTGGGACAGAACGAGCTGCAGTTGATGGCTCTCTACGCCCTGCAAACGTTCTGCTACAATGAGAATTTCCCAAAGGGTAAGCACAAATCGTTTTCTATTAATCCAATCAAGGTTACTTATTGATTTTTTCTTTGTTTCATTAGGCATGCTGTGCCGTTGGTTCAAATATCTGTATGAATCTGAAATTATTGAGGAGGAAGCATTCGTCTTGTGGAAGGAGGAGATTTCCGACAAATATCCAGGCAAAGGATCTGCTTTGTTCCAAGTGAACACCTGGTTGACTTGGCTGCAGGAGGCCGAATCTGAGGACGATGAGGACTAAGAAGCACCAGTCCCACATAACAACAACGCTATATGTTTATCACTTCCAATATTTATTCACAAATCAATAATGATTACATGATGAAAAAACAACAAAAGTAACAAAAAAAAAAAGCTAACAAGATATAATAAGTAAAAAATATCAGCAGGATGGATGTTTGATATCGCGGTTGCAAATCTTAGTCAAATTATAGTAGAACAAACAAAAAAAAAAAAAATTAATCAAAATTATTTGATATCCAACAAATTCAAAGAACTTTAAAAACTGATTATCAATAAATAAAACGCAATAGACGGCAAACATAAACGATATTTAATCCATACAACATAACCGCAAGCGAAGTTAGTAAATTACCATTGACATTTCAAGCATAACTACTAGTGAATTTCATCTACATATTTTTTTTACATTGACGACCGGAACTGATCTTTAAATCGAATATCTCTGTTTTCTGCCTTTATTTGGTACTCGCCGATTTCCCGATTGTGTATTTAATTAAGTAGGTCAAATCAAAGCGACAACGGGAGCGAAAGAAAATCTGAATGTAATTGTGAACAAAATATCTTATATATGTATTTTAACTCCAAACATTATAAACTCGCCCACATTAAATAGAGCCTTAATAAATGCAACCAACACTGCGAACGGCGAAAAGGATGTTGTTTTTAATCAAGTGTTTAGAAGGGACAATTTTCAAACTTGGCGCCATACGCTTTTACTGCTGCCTATCGATTTTGTAATATTTTAATTGGGAAACCCTGGTCGTTTTGTTGGAACGCATTTTACCATATGGTAACTCTGGTCAAATCTGCAATTTCATTGTTTTCTTGTAAATTTTGCTTGTTTATATCTAAATTACTTAATAATGGAGAGTGTAACGGTGGTGGAAGCTGGAAATGTTGTGCCGTCTAAGGAATCCGGTCCATTTACCTCACATTGTGTTAATTTGGAAGCGGGACCATCGCAATTTACTGTGCGCGCCCTAAAAATGCAAGGCAGCACCATGCTGATTGTAAATCCAAAGGAATCCGAGGTCTTTGAGGAGCTAGCAGTGGCTATGCCCTCTCGTAATCCAACCTGCAACGAGGCCGTATCCTCCACGATTTTGGGTGGACATGGCCAGACCGATTCCTCTGTACTGGCGGCAAAATTAAGTAAACGCTATCGCCGGCAATTCTATGTGAGCCTCAACCTCAAACTAGACCGATTGGTGGGCCCGCTGTTTGAAAAGTCGCTAGTCACCTACATGCACGACCATCTGGAGCACTTTGCTTGAGTGGGTACTACACATACATGCGGTATAAAATTAAACCTCAACCTCATATATTTATTTCTGGTTCACGTGCACACAGGGCACATCGCTACTGCCACCGATGACATGGCGCCGCGTGGGGGTCACCATCTATTTCGGGGACCGGCGGCTACCCCACGGACACAGCTCCACGTACTCAACGCACTCCACCAATATACTATCTGGGATCTCCGATTCCCGATCTCCGCTCAGACGTCATGCGTCGGCCGAGTGAGCGCGAACTTTAAATGTGTATCGCTGAAACGATTTGTGTTCAATAAATTTATTGCCCTAAGTAAGTTTACAGACGAACGCTTTATCAATTTTGTGCGCGATAGTAGCTCTCCATGTAAGGAGAGGTCACCTGCTGTGGGAGTGATCGCGTGCCACCCGCATGCTCTTCATGCTGCTTCGCCGCCCAATCATTTGAAGGTCAGTTCGGCTGCACCGATTGCTTGATTGGTGAATTCCCCGGAATATTTCTGAAATCGAATATATGCTCGTACTGTGCTTGTTTGTTTATTAGGACTCGATTTCGGTTTTCACTTTCGAATTTTCAACTTAATTAACAATGAATAGCAAAGTCAAATTAATTACATATGCTATGATATGATATGATATTAGGAAAAACGTGTGGAAACTGGAAGACTGTGAATCCTTGACAAATAAATGTGAATTTATGTAAAATTTTAATCAGTACATCTATTTTATTGTCCACCTTGTTAGCAGTGCTCTGCAGGACACTTGAATTCATTCATTTGAATGAAAAAATCTAATTAGGAAATCACTTTTTTTAATTTAGACTTCTTGCCGTTAGAATCCCAGTCATGGTTAGGGTTAAGTGATGATTGGCAAAAATGTTGACTTAAGAGTCTTTGCTTAATCATTGTACAGTTTATGTACATCTGTATCAAAGAACTAGAACTCCCAAAAGAAAATTGAATAGGGCAATTAAGTCATTCTCTTATTAACAATTATAAAAAAATTTCCTGAAACATTCATAATTATGGAAAATACGACCTCAGTAAAAGTTTTGAAAAACGATATATTAACTCCCAACAAAAAAGTTAAAGTCACTTCCTGCTTGATAGTCTCACATAAAATGATTATGATATCCAAAATATCCAAGTCACTCCGGCTATAACTGCGTTTTTTAATTGTTCTCAGATAGAACATTATTAGGGCAAAATTCAATGCATAAAATGTATTAGCTGAAGTTCGAAGGATAAATAATATCTTTTAAAATAAATTGTATCTATTGGCATGCTCAAACTAAAAGTTGGCTTCACTTCCTGCCCGACAATCGTAAATCTAAATCGATTGATAAGACGTCTGAATTACCCCCGCCAAGACTGCCAGTCATATATAATAAAAAAGCCCCCCGGGGGCGTTGTGCAATTGTTGTTGGATCACACCGCATGGATGTGCCATTGAAACTTTTCCGCTAAACTTCGAAATATAAAAAAAAAAAAAAAAACACAACAACAAAAAAAACCCCACGAAAAAACAAATTTTGCCTCTCATAATAATGCCCAGTCTAGACGAGATATTGTCAGGCGTATCAGCAGTGGTAACAGAAACAATAGCATATCGCTCCTAAATAGCAACACCCATTGAACGGGTATAAAAATAGAGCCCCAGCCGGAAGGTCTGCGGTCCGTGGTCTCTGGCTCCCACGAATGTCTGGAATGCTTTTATTTTTCTCTTTTTTATTATATTGGTTCCCCCGAGTTGCCTAATAACTTTTCCTTTTTGGCCATATCAAAACTGTCTGGCGATAAGCGCCCTATAAATAATAGATCCGAGTCGGCCGAATTCGAGCAGCCATCTGTAATAAACTACGGATTGGTTGGAGATGAGAGTGGTTCCATGCTTTGGTTGCATGTCCCTTTGGTGTGATGACTGATGGCTGGGACAGCGGTACATGGACTTTGGATGTCTGTCCGGTGGCGGCAACAAAGTAATTAGCCTTCTGCGGGGCGGCTAGCATATAGTCATATCAGCTCCCAGTGGGTTCCACCATCCAATACGGCGATAAGCTGGCTGGCTGGACTTCGAATGGACCCTTCTTCCACGGCGGCTGCTGCAAATATGCATCTTGGCGATAAACCCTCGGTTCAGGCGCACGCCCACCGGTCAAGTTGGATCGGAACGGATCGGTACGGAGATCCCATACCGAATCCGCCGGTAGGGCTTATCGGACCACGAAGCCACCTATGCCAGCCAACCAGACCCCTCCGGTTATCGGTCGAGTGTTGTTAATTTGATAGAAATATTAAACATCATCCCGCCAGGCAGACTGCACCCTGCGAATCCGGATCGTACCGGATCGCCTTCAAGTGTCTGTCACCCATTTGGGTTTCGGTTTCGAATTCGGATTTGTTTTTATTTACGCCGAGATTTGTATTACGGAAAATTAATAAGCGCACACGCTCTTGGCTCCCCAACAGAATTTCGCAAATGTTCGTTGATAATGTGATTCCTTTTCGCATGCTCAGCCTTATCAATGCTGCCTGAGGAGGAGCTTCTGGACTTTGGGAATGTCCAAGAGGGGGGTATCAATGGTTTTTAATGCCGGATCGAGGCGATTTAGCAGGCGGAGAGACAATGGGGGCAGGCTTATCGACACTCGCTCGCGCCATACAAAGTTCACACTGGCAGCCAGAAAATCCGGATTTTTTCACTCATTTTTGGAGCAAATTTGAATTGCTTGGCTAAAGCAAGCCAAACATAAAAAATAGGTTGCGCCTGGGGTCCTTCATGGGCTGTCTGTGATTTTGGGAGGCGATATGGTGGCTACAGACTTCCAAGGCCGTGCTTTGAAACATTCCACTGAACTGACCCCGCCATGCGCAACTGTACTTTAGCCGGCAGATGGGGAGCTGTCTCTGGCCTGTGGTCCGATTATACCCCCTATCTATTTATAAATCATGATTCGGCATCTGATCAGAGGGGGTGATTGGGAGTGGGACTGGGACTCGGACTGCGAACTGCAAATGGCAATGAGTCCACAATTTAACGTCGTCCACCTGTCGCACTGCTGATAGAGGGCAAGGGCTTATCAAAGTCCCTGATGTCGTGTTGCCTTTACGTAAACCTCCAGGGACCCCACTCGTTGGCCCGTGCAATTCGTACGGATTACGTCGGATTGTTTGGAACTGTGAGTGCTGGGGAGGTGAGTTCTGCAGTGCGAAGGTGGAGCGAAGGTTGCTCCGCCAGTGATTCACGGGACCAGACAGCGCCTCCGCCGCCTGATAACGCCGATAGCTAATAGCTGATAGCCACCACCCAGCAGAGCGCAACTCCGCTTCCCGTCGTGCCATTCACGTCATGGCGCAGAAAGTTTCGGCCCAAAAGATATGGAGCGACGGCATGTGGCGGCATTTGTTGACTTGGCGTGAGATAACCACCTTATCGCTGTCCCAGACGCAGCGCCCACACACTGAGGTGAAACCCGTAGCCAAACCTAAGAATGAAATTTTAGGTTTGGGATTCTACGTACGTGAAGATATTATTTAGGAAGTTTACTAGGCCTGATAAAGTGATAAAATTATAAAAACAATATCGGTCTTAAGAAGTTAAAGTAATTTTAAAATGCTTTGATATTTTGGGTATTAAAATAGAAGGTAATTAACCTTTAATTATTGGATATTCTTTTATAAGTTAAAGTCTAGTCTTATTTTATTCTTGGTTTAACATTGCTTAAATACGGCCTAAACCATTTAATTTCATAAAGATAGAAATTTTAAAAAGAAAGCGAAAGTTTGGAAGAGGTTTTTTATGGTTGAATCTAAACTTTTAAATTTTTAAAAAAGTCCAAACTTTATATTCATGTATCAACTGCCTTTGAGCTTTGTTTACATCATAATGCTATTTATGGAAATGATGCGAAGTGATCTTGTTGGGGACTGCTCCTCGATTCTAGAAAGTACAATCGTAAAGCATGACAGATAGTTCTAAAGTCTAGAAATATTCCCGGTTTCTCCTAGCATACTCATCCATTTAGTTTTCTCTAAGTGCATGAGCCCAGATGTTGACGTACCTGTTGAAGTGAAGGGGTGGATTTGGATCGGGAGGGGAGGTTTTCAGAACGCAGGGTGGGGTTGCAGGGAATTCGCTAACGGTACGAAGTGCAAGTCAGACAGACGGCGATAACGCTTGCCCCCCAAAGAGCGATCATCGAGCACACACATGTACATATGCTGGCTGGCTGGCTGGCTTGCTGGATTTCCACTTGTGCGTTGATAAGCGGGACCAGACCGTTCCCCTTGTCACCCATCCACCTTTCAGTCCGTCCAGTACGGAGTTTCACTCACGTAGTGTGTGCTTTTGCCCCAAATCCATTTGCCCCAGTGGATTTTTTCCAAACCGCCCTTCGTCTCCGTCTCCATTCAGTACGCACCTGCTCTTCAACGTACTAGTGTTTTGGTTCCCTCCCCTCTGTCGCCACCCCCCGGCCGGACCCGTCTGCAGCCTTCGGTAACTGATAAGCGTTCCCTGTCCGTCTGGGCGACCCCTTATCACCAGCCGAGTTTCACATATTACCCGAACGTCTGCAGGCGAGCGGCTCATTCGATCGGCAAGCGCGTTAGCGAAAGCAACTAATTTCTCAATCAAGCACCCACCCAAGCCATTACCATGGATATAGTACAAAAGTCAATCTTCAACAGCGGCCCAGTCAGAGGAATATACGAGTCGCCCGTGGGCTACTTTACGCCGTATAATACCCCGCCGTATATAGCTGCCTATTCGGATTCAGGTAGTTGGTTATCGGATCATCACCAACAGCACCAGCAGATGCAGCACATCAGGTTCCCTACACCGCCCATCACTCCGCCGCGTCCTGTTGCCGGATACGGATATAACCAGCGCACTCAGTCCGTGATCATGAAGGCCCAAGCCCAGCAGGACGACCTCTGCAGAAGTCCAGTGGAATTCCAAGATGACAGCAAGTCCTGCAGTAGCGGCAGCGAGTGCGGCACCACCAGTGATTTCGTCTGCAATTGGATCGAATGCGATAGGTAAGAATCGGCTTCATTATAGGAACTCATGGGGGAAACAAGATTGCCTAAATTGGTCATTAGTTTCATAATAAATTTTAATGGGAAAAATTCGTTATCAGTTTCAAATTGTAATTATCACATATAGTGAAATAGATTTTTTTTGCATTTTTAAAATTTGGTATACGATTTAGGTTAATATGAATGTTCAAATTTCATACTCCTACAATTGTACTTTTTAGTAAATTTTTAGAAGACGTTTTACTTTACAAGAATATAAATTTAATTTCTAGTGAGTTCAATATTAATAATATTCTAAAAATATGTGTACATATTGGGGATTTATCATTACAACTGATTACAAATTCAACAGAAAAGTCCAGCAGCCTGGTATATACATATATGTATTGAACTTTTGGACTGGACTTTCTGATAAACCCCATCGAATAGCGATAAAAATATGATTTTGGGTCAAATTGATAAGGATAAAATGTAATAATTTATAGCCAGGAAAAATATTTGATTTTGGATAAATTATATATGATAAACATTACAATAATTTGCCCCTTACTAGTCAATAAAATCCTTCTGATCATTACAGGGTTTTCGACACTCTGGAGGCACTGGCTCAGCACGTGACCCAGCGACATGCGATCGCCTCCCTAACAGATGGACTCTATTACTGCCGCTGGAGAGGATGCCAGCGCAGCGAACGTGGTTTCAATGCCCGCTACAAGATGCTCGTCCATACCCGCACTCATACCAAGGAGAAGCCACATCGCTGCCACCTGTGCGAGAAGTCCTTCTCGAGGGCGGAGAATCTTAAGATCCACATCAGGTCGCACTCTGGCGAGAAGCCATACAAATGCAGCTTCGAGGGCTGCCAGAAGGCGTATTCGAACTCCTCGGATCGTTTCAAGCACACCCGCACCCATTCGATGGAGAAACCGTACATGTGTAAGGTCGCCGGATGCCAGAAGCGCTACACAGATCCCTCATCGCTGAGAAAGCATGTGAAAACCTTTAAGCACAGCATCCACTTGATCGCCAGCCAGCCCCTTAGCCTGCCCAGTGCTCCTTGTCTTTTGGAAACCAGCAGCGATTCCGCATTCACATGTCTTCCAGCCGCCGGCAGTGTGGAGTCCACCTGCTCTTCCTCATCCGCCCGCTATTACGATGATAATAATGAGCCCAGCGATTACTCGCTGAAAGCCAAACCTGGTGCGGAGTTCTCGCCCAGCTACTGGCTAAGCGAAAGGCAGCATAGTTACCTCCATAGCGAGGACTTCTTCGTTAAGATGGACGTGGAGTCGCCGCTGGACTTGCGCATCCACAGAATTTGAACTGGCCACTGACCAATTCGCCTCTCGTCTCTCTTCCCCCGTCTAGTCATTGTGCTGTTTCCCAGCTCTTGTCACTACACCTAGATTAATATTTAACCTGATTAAAGACTGTTGTATTTGAAAAAGCTCTGGTTTGGTATGGGAATTACTTCAAGTTATCAGCGGAACATAACCTTGGGAGGCTAAGGAATTTTCCCATTAATAGTTATTCTGGGAATGCAGATGGCTTAACCTCTGATTAATACATTGGATCGTAATGCCTCTCTTACATTTTTTCCAAGAAAATTGCTAATCTTAAATCCCTTTCTGTACTTAGTGAGTCAGTCATAGGAAATTGGATTACTGAATATATGAAAAATCAAGGTCTTGAAAAAACCCGCGTATAAAACCAATCATCCAAAAACTATCAACCAATTGCAATTGTGACGTGAATTTAATCTAGTTCGATAACACTTTATGATTCTAGACATACCTTTTTTAAGGGGAAAATCCCCATTTCTAATGGCTAGACCCACAGAGCGGTGGATATTTGAAAATATTTATTGTTTAAATGCGCATCTAGACGAGTTTTTCACAACTGTTAATAACAGATTTAATCTTTTTTGCGGCTTATAGGAATGTTAGTTGATCTAAATAACCTCTCGTTTTTATACAAACAACAAGAACAAACAAAATAAATAGCAAAAGTATTTCACATTTGAAATAGATAAATACACTTTAAAAGCGGTATCAGGGGTGTACACTATATATATACGCATATATACTGGCAACATGCTACATAATAGAACTAAATATTAAAATTAACATTATTGTTGCACTCGCGTCGCTTAAGGAAACAGATACGTTGTAATCCCATCATCCGGATTTTTCTGTACAGCTGTACACTTCCACTGTTTAAGCCTATTTAGTGGCTTCCAGTAACTCTAACCTTGTCCAGTCATCATTGGCCGTATCATTATGCTCTAAAAAATCTTACAACTCGTACAATATATTGTCGGCAAATCGGGCACTCGTTCAGAACTTTTCCGCAGCTTGTGCAGGTCGCCATGTGTCCGCACTCTAGAAATACGCACTCAATTGGCGCGTCCATGCAGATTTTACAGAGTTCGTCCGTGGCCAGTTTCTCCACAGCTGCAAGCATAAATTGAGAATATTTAGAAGGTTGTAATAGAGAATAATGTCGTACGCTCACCTGGGCACTCTCGCATAGTTTTCCACAGCCTGCTCACGCGATCGAGCAGCTCTTGTTTCTCGCAACAGCCTTTGTAGTCGACGCGGTGCAGCATGAGCACCTCCTTCAACTGCTTCACCGTCAAACCCTCCAAGTCTTTTCTGTAAATCAAAGGATGCATTAAAACAACTATTGATTTAATAGAGACATAGAATAGAAAACTTACAAATCCTCAAAGTCTTCCAAATTGACGAAACGTGAATCAATGCATGCGGCGGGTTCAAAGTCCGACGGTGCCGCATACACATGGATGCCTTCGTCATCGTCCCAGCGGATATCTTCATCTTGCGTGGGCGAGAACTCAATGGTCGGCGTGATAGGCATGTCTGGAGATCTTCCGCCAGCGGCCACACTAATCGCATCCACGCTGAGAGGAGAAACCGCATGACTGTCCGCATCGGAGGCATCCACCGATTTGGTACGCTGCTCCAGGTACGTAAGGAACTCTTGCAGCTCCCGTTTAATGTCCTCTTCGGACATTTGTGAGTTCTCCAGATGGCGTCGCATTTTCTCCACATGCCGACGGATGTTTGTCTTGTTCTTACCGCAGCGCTGGCAACTTTGGCGATGGGAGTGCGCATGTAGGCCATGTTCCGGCTGTTCGCTCAGCGTCGAAAGTCCCAGACTGAGACCCGGTGCACCTGGTGCTACTGGGGACTCGTCATCGCTGGAATGGTAGCGGCGATTCAAGTAACCATCGGATCGTCGGCGGGTGACCTTTTTTGTGCGCTGTGGCACGGCGGGATGGAACGCTGGACTTGGATTGGCCGGGCGCTGTTCTATGTTCAGCGTTTGTGTGCTCTCACCCAACTGACTTTCGTCCCCTTCGACCGCCGGTCTGCTGCGCAACGTCACCTCCAATATCTCCTCGGCGGCACTCGTGGTCGGCGTCTCTTCCACCGCCTCTATCCTGTTCACCTCTAGCACCTGCCACTGATCCAGGTGGCTGCTGTTGGTGTCTGTGGTGGCCTTGCTCTCGTCGGAGATGCCGCCAATTGCACCCAGCTCTTCAAAACTAGACTGTGATGAGGCATCTGCTTTGGAACTGCTCGAGCCCGGTTTAGAGCAGCCTGGACTAGCTGTTGTGGTGCCTTCAGGACAGCCGTCTGCAGTCGCATTGCCAGCGGGACTTGGATCTGGGCGGGTATTGACCCCTGGACCGCTGGTATCGGTCTTAAGCGACAACGAAACGCGCTCGCTGAACGTGGCCATAATCTCTTCATCTGAACACTCGCAATCGGAGTTGCTATGCGTCTCCCCATGGTCTTCTTTCGTTTCTTTCTCTTGTTTGGCCTCCTGGGCCTGGCTGCTATTACTGGCATCGCGATTATTCGATGCCTGCGTGGAAGTTGAGGGACTACTGCTGCTCTGGCTATCCCCATTAGTAGTGGTGGCACCCTGATGCACATGAACGCGTTGTGGTCCGCCATTTACAGCACTGGCATATGTGGGAATCTCTCGCGTTGACACCCGCGGCTGCTCAAAGATGTGTGTTGGCGCCTCTGGCTGTCTGTTTTCTGGAGGTTTTGCTGCAACCTTGGTATCGAACGAGGCTAGCGAATCGCTAATATTGTCGCTCAGGTTGGAGAAGAAGTTTTGGCACGACTGTTTGAGGCTATCGATCGGGTTGGCCTGGCCACGACCCGGACTGTTGGACGAGGCATTTGAACCTCGGTTCCTGTCCACCTGGGCCACATGAGTGAGGACAAGGCCTACTAGTTCCTCTTTTTCTGTAAGTTAAATTATTTTTAAATAGTTTTACTTGTTAATTTATATAACTATGGATTCCCTAAAACATCTTCCAGCTAAATTAAAATTTAATTTTGATTGACTTTGGAAGTTGTTTGTAAGGGAACCCAAAATATGTGACTCACCTAGACAGCCTTCAGTGGAGATGTGTTTCGACTGCAGATAGAAAATCAGGTCCTTGGGTTTGAGCTTTAATAGGTCTGTCCTTAGCAGAGGGCGCTGTGCGAAGACCGAGCATCGCTGACAGCGCCTGGACACAATGCAGTTGGCACAATAGTAACGTCTATTTTTTGAGAATAACAAATTCATGTAAGTCCCCGAAATCTGGGATATAGACAATCAGTTCATTACTCACTTGCAGTCGAAGCAAGCGCGCTTGCGACGAAACACAGTAAATTCCACGCTGCAGCTTTCGCAGGGCATCGTGGTCACTGGACAGTGGGCAGCTGCTCCTATCGACCGTGTCCTTGCCTTCCTGGCAACTTCTCCCCTTTACGCCCACTGTGCTGGCATTGCATTTGTTTTTCAATGTCAACTCAACGCCGTGAATCACTTTACAGTCAATACTCGGCACACGACTATCATTTTCACCTGTCGGTGTTTCGATTTAGAGGTCTGGGGATTAACTCAAGACTTAATCATAGGCAACTGCCTGGGCTCACAATGATTTTTATAATTTTTTATCAGGCTAGGCCAGGCAAAATATACGTATATATATAAATATACATATATATATGGCAGCAATAAACAATATTGCCAGATTGCAAAACGATAGGTTATGTTATCGAGAACTATATGCCATGGCTGAGGTGGCATAGCGCTACTTTTATCGGTTGCATCTCCCGATAAGGCTATCGAGTAGCGCTTAATTTAAAAACTCATTAATTAATATTAATTACTGATGTTTTCTTACTCAAGACGTGCTCGATTGTGACCCTATAATAAACTCTTCCAATTAACTAATCACACAGTTACATATATTTAATGGATGTTCTGGGATCTCAAATTCACACAGTTTGAATCCCTATAATTGACAAAATCAATTAAATCTTCCATATAATTACTCATTTAGTTGCTTTTATTTAATTCACATCCACTACTTACATTTAAGTATGTAATTGTATGCATTTAAATAGTTAAGTGCCATAAAATGTTGCAATCTTGTTTAAAATAATACATCAATTAATTGCTAAATATTATACGGTCTGCCTTCTGCTCCGCCTTCAAGTCATTTAGTTATATACACATGTGGTTTCCAATGATTGAGCTTTTCCGAAATTCTTGTCGATAAGTCTTTAATTACATAAACAAATGCGTCCGTTGTTGCTCCGGCCAGAATGTTGGCCAGCCATAACAAGAGCTGGCTAATGAATGGCAGTTGGAGAGTCCGTCCTCAAGCAGCGCCAGCACCGCATCGTTCGTTTTCAGTGGCCACGGGTGTTTTAAGGTTTTTTGTTTTGCTTTCACAGGGGAACTAAAGCAGCAGCAAGAGAGCGCGAGTCATCAGTGAAGGTGAAAATGTACAATCTTTAATTTCTATTGGCGAGTTGAACGTTGCTTGGCCCTGAAGAGAGTGGAGACTGCTACTACGACATGAGACCTGAATCCTCGGCCTTTACGTGGCTCTGCAGGGGATCGTCGTTGTTGTTGTCATCATCGTGGATGCCTGAGGACACCATCGCCCGGTTTTTCTCGTAGTCGACAAAGTCGTCGAAGAGACTGGGCCACGCTTCAGTGTCATCGTAATTTTGTATATCACATTGTTCCGTAAAATTGAGGTACATGTTCCATGTATCCTTCGGTATGCGGCGAATATTCGGGTGCTTTTCGAGGAAGTGTATCCAGTTGGAGAAGAGATCAGGTGTTTGTACAGTGAACACAAGTTTCCACAGGTCAATGGCCATCTCAAGGGAGAGGACTCGCTGATCGGGCTCCAGGCCAAATCTGAAATGCAAAACGAAAGTTTCATTTTGAGCATTAGACCTGTAATGACAACTTACCGAAAAGTGAAACGGTACAGCTGCTTGAACATTTCGGCGTCTGCCTTGAGCATTTCGATCGTCTGCTCCAGTCGAGTTCGGATGCTAGGTATGGTGTCCGCCCGCATCTTGTGCAGACCCTCAATAAACTCCACCTTGGTGAAACGGCACATCTGGGAAGCATCCAGGCACCAGGCCAGGACGAGTATGGCAAACTCATCGGGCTGATAGTTAAGGTCATTGCACAGTCGCTCGATGCCGTCCGTGAGTATCATGTCCTCGTCGTCCGGATCTTTGTACACGTCGAACAGTTTGTTCAGTGCCTGCAGCGACACCTCCATGGATTCCTTGACAGCTATTTGATCAAACAAAATCGAATGAGCGCAATGTTAATGAGACTGTTACGAACGCTGACTCACCAGTTGTTATGATATCGCTCATGGTGGGCGCACTGCCATTAAGCAAACCTAAAGACTTAAAACTATTACGCTTAGTATCACAATTGTTTGCTTTTGCTGGCTTGAGTGGAGTTCGGCTAGAGAGCAGTTCATCGGTTTCTAGAAGAGGGGGCAAAGAAGAGGGTTCTTAAACTTTGAAATTACTATACGGTTATTAAGTGTATATAATACACACCTAGGGCGCAGCGTTCGTTGGCATTGGGATTGGTGCCCACCGATTCGTAGCAATTTGCAAGGCTGGTGGCCGTCTGGCAGGCGTTGGAATTGGAATTGTGTAAATTGGGGGACGAGACGTTCGTTGGCATCGATTGTTCGGCGGCAGACTGGAAGCATTTCAGGCAATTGCCCATAGTGCGGGCGTGCTGGATGCACCAGGTCCCTGTCCACCTCCTGCTCCACCTGCAGTTGCTGCCCTAGCAGGAGCACTTGATGGCTTCCAGTTTCGATTTGGCTGTAAGGCTGGCTGACACTTTTGATATTTTAGGGGCGTGGATATGGATCTGAGGTTTGGTCCTATGGCTCCTTGGGGATTTATTGACTACTATGCATTGGCACTGCGATTCCCTTAACTGACATATGTTAGTGGCAATTCCGATTCCGATTCTTTGTTGCCACTGCTGCGATTGCTGTTGTTATTTTGGTGCCTCCTACGCAAACGCACACTCACGCGTATACACATACATGTGCAGGTTGCAACTGCAGCGTTTACTGCCACCGAATCGCACTCGTCTCTTTTTCTTTTGTTGTTTTCTTTCACATTTTCATTTCACCGTGTTAAAACGATTGTTTTTGCACGAATTTTAACTCTTATTTTTTAATTTATCTTGATTTTTGTCTTTGCTTTTTTTCCAGGGCAATCGGACCAGGGCGGCACTAGCAACCAGGCTGCACTGCTCTAAAGTGGTCGTATGCGATACTTCGATACCATTTTTGTTTGGTCTGGTAATGCCCTATCGTGAGCGCTCTCCGAAAAAAGAGAGTTACAGTGGGCCATCGTAGTTATCTAAATTACTCTCACAAATTGTTTCAAATAAATATCTTAAGCAGATCGACATGAGTAAAAACCATAGGTGTATACTAATACAATTTTTTAAAAGTAACCTTAAACTTAATAAAGTACCTAGAACGAGTAATTTTTAGTTAGTTAATTATTTTTAAAGGAGTATGTTTAATATTAATTAAATAAAAATATATTTTTGTAATGTTAATTTAGAAATATTTATAATATATCAACTTTTCAAATGTGAAGAATAACCGTTGCATCTTTAATTCTAACGCCCACTGTGCGTAATAGGAGCGCCGAAGTTTGAGACAAGTTAACAATTTCATTCAACAACATGCAGTCGGAGCGGTAGAAAGTGCTTCCGGGTAACTGCTTTTGGTACGTGCATATTCTAGTGATCGGCAAGCAAAAGAAAACTTTCGGTTCGGTTGGCTAAAAAGAAAAGTGTCAAGTTGTCCAGCTGGGAAACTCCAAATCCTGCATTTGAAAAGCTGTCTTAAACCGGGACATTAAAACTGGAAGTTCATGTGTGTATATATCCGTTGTAAATGGTTGACTGCCTCGGTTTTCGGTTGTTTTGGGCAATTCAAAAACCAGCCAGCAAGGTTGACTGAACTTGGTAGTTGGTAGTTGGTATGTAAGCCAAACTCCGTAGTGTGCAGTAAATGGGTAATGTTTTAGGTGTGTGCGTGCGTTTGTGGGCCTGTGATTCTTCGGCTTCGGCTACACTTTTCTTTTTCTTTTTGGAATTATTAATACACAACGTGTGAACATTAGTACAAGCTCTGGGAAAAACAAGGGCAAAATGAAATCTGCTTAACGTACATATATCTTGGGACATCTTCATGCCTATTTTAATAGCTCAAGAATGGTAAAGAATTAAGAATTGAAATGTGACAAATAATATGATGGAAAACTTGTTATTGTTTTAAAATCAGCAGAGATATGGTTCAATTTTGAAATATGATCAGAACCTATTCTTTTATTTATCAGTATCTAATATATCAGCTGTACATCATTTCGGCCATTAGCGACAGTTTCTTGGGTATGTTGGCCAAATTCTCGAAGTAGCTGGCCAGTTCCTCGACATTATCTTCATCGTGGTTTTGGAACTGAGCTTTTGATCTTTCGTAAAGACAACCCTCTTCCAGTTTTTCACATTCGCATATCAGGGACTTAAAATCATAGGCAGTTTTTGAACCTAAGACCCGAGGGGGAAATAGACTATCTTTTTCCTTCATGTCATGAGGTTTTCCGAAACCAGAAATATTTTCGAACTCCCTCATCAGAGACTTAATGTCATAGGCATTACCAGAATCCGTCTTCCTATCCTTTATCTTTACCCAGTTAGATTCCTTCTCCTCTTCGATGTTCTTAACCCAATCCAGACCATCGGCACGAGATCTTCCATAGATTAAATTTCTAGGCTTCCGGAGCACCAACTTTTGTTTCATCGATTGTTTCTTTACTCCGGAATCCGCTAATGGGATGCTGGAACCCAAAGTTGAATTGGAACCATTTAACTTGATTCCTTCGATTGGACAGTCCAAGATTTTTAACTCATGCAGCTCGAGGGACAGCTTGTCTAGAGGCATTTTTATTTTCTATTGTTGCCAATAAGAATAGCGTGTCAAAGTGTCTGGTTTTTATATGTTGGTATAAATGTGGAAGAAAGGAATCGGAAGTATAATGAAAAGGCTATTCATAAGATCCGGGATTCCTTTCAGATAGATTCGTAATTTTCATCGCCAGTCTGATTGAAAGATAACACAGTCGAGAATGTCTTCGGATCGGTTTCACAAGTGAGTACATGCAATTAATTTGGCTCTATCTTATCGCTATTGGAATGCACAAGTCTCATTAACACTTTGGATCTCTTTTTTTTTAGAGCCGCCAAAGATGGGCTGTTGGATGTGCTGGCTGCAGCCACCCGTAAGGATACTAATGCGAAGGACAGCGATTCCATGACGCCGGTCATGTGGGCAGCCTTCGAAGGCCGTCTGGATGCACTGCGTTTGCTATGCGGCAGGGGGTAAGCTATGCTATTTTCATACTCTATCTTTATTAATCCATAACCTTAACCCTCAGTGGTGACCCCGACAAGTGCGATCAGTTTGGAAACACAGCCCTGCATTTGGCTTCTGCCAAAGGTCATTTGCATTGCGTCGATTTTCTGGTTAAGTTCGGAGTTAACATCTATTCGCTGGACATTGACAAGCACAGTGCTAAGGACTTAGCGGCTATTAATGGGAGAGACGAGATATTACGCTATTTGGATGTGGCCTTTACAAACTTCGAAACAAATGAAAAGTAAGCTTATAAATAATATATCTTTTCCTAAGGTTAATTAGTTAAATAAAATCTTCACATTTTAGAAAGAAATCCAAGGCCCTGAAGGAACTGGCCGAAAAAAACTGCGAGAAACGAGTGAGAGAGTACATGAAGCGGCAGCAGCAGCGCCAGGATCCGGATTATGCCGACCTCAGCCCTCCTAGTGGTCCTTCAAAGTCTGGTAATATGCTGTCCACACTCAAGCAAAAGATCTGGTCCAGTCAGGGCAACCTAAACAAGCCGCCAAGAGACTCACCTCCTCAGCCTGGTCCCACAAAGTTTAGCGATCTGGTTGGGAGTGGTAGCAGCAGCAGTGGCGGCTCCACGATAGCCAGTCGAGCGGGAACGGTTCAGAAGAGGCCGTCGCAGCTACAGAAACAGCATAGCAGTACATGTCCACACTCGAAGATTGCCAGCGACTCAGATGGAGGTTTCAAAGTGCGGGAACTGGAGCCGGATGGCAAGCGGACGATTACATCCCTAACGGGTCTGCAGCGAGACTCCGAAGTTATGTATGTGGGAACCTTTAGTTCCAATGACGATAGCATCGGCAAGCGGGGCAAGATCACCGATGTATTCGAGTGCATGGAGGGCGATGAGACGGATAACAATGATAACCGCAGTGGCTACAGTTCGACTTTGGCGCGTTCTTTCTCTCAACCGGATATTCTGGGCGAGGGTCAGTTGACCCAGGAACTAAGCGAAGAAGTGACCCTCCAGAGACCCGTGGGTCTCTTTGACAGACCCACCATGCTAGGCAGCATAGCCTTTCGTCGTTCCGTTACAGCTGCATTGAGTCAGCTCCAACTGCATACGGACACTAGTTCCACATCCACCATGAGAAATGCGGGCAGTAATCCACCGAAACCTCGAAATGGCGGTGGGAAAGGTCGCCTATATTTGAACCTATCAGATGACACGGATTCCGAGGGCGGTGGTCATGATATTTACAGCGATGATGACGACGACGATCGAGATACCTCGGGTAGTGCATTGCAAAGATTTTTGGCCGTTTGGGCCCTGGAAGAATACCTACCAGTGTGAGTGTCCCTAAGTTGATCTCCTCTTAATATGAAACTCAAGTTAACCTTTCTTTTCAGATTTCAGAAGCAAGAGATCGATTTGGAGACCCTGATGCTGCTCACGGAGTCTGACCTCAAGTCGCTGGGACTGCCGCTGGGTCCCTTCCGTAAACTCACCTTCGCCATCCAGGAGAGACGCAATGCCCTGGCGAATCCCGGTCCCCTAGTAGACAGTCGACTGTAGTACTTGGCTTATTTATTCTATTTTTTCGTAATACTTCAACATTTTCTATTAGCCTAGTGTACATACTAAATTAAAACCTAAAACTAATCACTCTAATCCGCTATCTCTATCCAGCTACCTGCTGCATTAAGTAGAGATTGGCATAGATTTTATTCAGAGCCATCAGCTCGTCGTGGGTGCCATGTTCCACTACCACGCCGCGTTTCAGCACGCAGATGAGATCCGCATTCCGCACGGTGGTCAGACGATGTGCAATCGTCAGACATGTGCGGCCCGATCGTGCCTCATCTAGGGCCTGTTGCACCACCTTCTCACTCTCCAAATCCAGAGCAGAAGTAGCTTCGTCTAGGATGAGTATCTTGGGGTTCCTAACCAGCGCTCTAGCGATGGCGATGCGTTGCTTCTGACCTCCCGAAAGCTGCGATGTCTTGCCCAACGGAGTGTCGTATCCCTGCGGCAGAGCACTAATAAAGTTGTGGATATTGGACTTCTTTGCCGCCTCAATGATTTCCTGCATGGACACATCGTCTCGGAAGTTGTTGCCATAAGCTATGTTCTCGGCAATGGTGCGGTCGAAGAGTACAGGTTCCTGGGAGACCAGACCCAGCTTGGAGCGCAGTGTATCCAGCGGAAAGTCCGTGCTGGGAACTCCACTCAGATTCACGGATCCTGATACGGGATCGTAGTAACGGAGAAGGAGTTGTACGCAGGTGGATTTGCCGGAGCCGGAAGGTCCTACGAGTGCCACTGTTGTCGACTTTTTGATGGTAAGGTTTAGTCCTTGCAGAATGGGAGTGCCCTTCCTCGTTGGGTACTCGAAGCCAACGTTTTCGTACACTATGTCTCCCTCGGATTTCTAAAAAAGAATAATGATTAATGAATATTAATTAATACAGATCAACATATTACATCGTGACCAAGCAGAATTTGAACTCACCTCAACTGTGTTGTAGGGACTCTGTGGCGGATTAGGCTGCGTGGAGTTGCGCTTGAAGAGATCCATCAGGCGTCCGGCGGACAGAATAGCATCGTTTACATTCGGGGCATAGGCTAAAGCCTGTCCCAACATCCAGGAACCAAAGATCAGTGCCTCAGCAACCTTAATGATGTCCTCATAATCCATTCGATCCTCCGCTACCAAAATACCACCATAATACATGGAGATACCGTAGGCCAAGAAAGGAGCCGCCTGTCCCAGAGCGAAAACCAAGCCACGGAAGCGAACTTTTCTTCTGCAGGCAGCATCCACATTATCGATTTGCATGACATACTGATCCAAGACCTGACGCTCCAGGCAGAGACCATTGACTGTTCGGATATTGGTAATAGCTTCGACGGCTACTTGGGAAGCTTCCTCGATGGAAGTCTTGGCCTTCTGGGCACTCTTCATGATAAAACGACCCTCTAGGTAGACAGATAAACAGACCAATGGAAGGGTGACCAGGGTGAGAAGTGTCTGTTGCCAGGAGAAGACAAATCCGACGACCATTCCAACTACAAGAGTGGCAACGGCCTGAAGCATGGTGCCCACACGAGCTCCAGTTGCCTGGAAAATTAGAAAAAAATATTATTATTTATTCTATTAGTGGTTTATAAGCTTTTTAGCTTACCCCTTGAACATTTGAGCAATCACTGGCCAGACGAGAGCACAATGCTCCCACAGAGTTTCGTTCGTCATCGAAATAAGCGATATCTTGACCTATGATGGTGGCAAAGGCCCTTTTCCTCAGACGCGTTGTCATCTTCACACCAGCCGCGGTGAACATATAGGTCTGCAGCATGTTACCCAATCCGGCCATCAAACCAATGCCAACAAAGATCATAGAGATTTTCAGGACCTCGGAGCGCACCACATCATCGTCGCCATTCGACAGGATTCCGAAGAAGTCTCCAAAGAAGAGACCCCAAAGGGGGAAGGTGGCTCCATGCATCACGGAGGCAATGCTACCCACCACTATCAAGCGCCACTCGGGAGAGTTCAGTTTCATTAGCTGCATGAAGGACACCTTGGCCACCACTTCCTTTTGCTTCTTCTTCTTGTTGCGACGCTGCGAGCGACCTGTAAAGGTTAACATTTTTGTTTTTTATAGTTAACTAAGGAATTTACGATAAGCTTCCCAAAGTAATCAGAACTATCTTAGAACACTTATAAAACCATTTTTTTTTCTGACTTCTGATACTTACGCTTACGTCGCGTGCTGGCTCTAAACCCGCTGTCCCTGGAACTGCCAGAAGTCTGCAACTCGGGCTCCTCGTCCTCCTCTTCATCCTCCTCATCATCATCGGTTTCCTCGTCAGACAGGTTCTGCGACTTCTGTAGTGGCCGCCCGACCACCGCTCCCTCATCCTCCTCAGTGGCCTCCTTACGCTGAGTGATGTTCACCAATTCGCAGTACAGACCTTTGCGCTCCATCAGCTCTTCGTGTGTACCCTGTTCCGCTACTACACCGTCCTTTAGGAACACAATCTTGTCGGCATTGGTGATAGTGGACAGACGATGGGCCACAACCAAGGTTGTTGGTCCTTGGCTAGCCAGTTCCAGAGCACTTTGCACACGCTTCTCAGAGGTGGGGTCCAATGCTGAGGTTGCCTCGTCCAGAAGTAGTACTTGCGGCTGTCGAACCAAGGCCCTGGCAATGGCAATACGCTGCTTCTGGCCACCAGAGATCTGAGCACCCTTCTCACCCACCTGGGTGGCATAGCCTTTGGGCAGGCGACTGATGAAATCATGACAGTTGGCGGCACGCGCCGCTTTCTCTATATCAGCCTGAGTGGCCGATGGTCTTCCGTATCGGATATTCTCGCCAATGGTGGTGGCGAAGAGAACCGGTTCCTGGCCCACCACTCCAATCTGCGAACGCAGCCAGCCCACATTCAGTGTTCGAAGATCCCGTCCGTCCAGTTTGACGCTGCCCGCCTCGGGGTCGTAGAACCGCTGCATCAGCTGGATGAGGGTGCTCTTGCCACACCCAGAGGCTCCAACGAAGGCCACCGTCTGACCCGGAAGCACATCGACGGTGAGGCCCTTGAGGATCTCCACATCTGGCCGAGCGGGATAGCGGAAATGAATACCCTCGAAACGAATGTGTCCAGCAGTGTTTTCCGGCCTGCTTCCCTTCTCGTCCATGGGGTCCACTTTCGACGGGCGATCGATGATATTAAACAAGGTCTGTCCAGCTGCCGTGGCCACAGCAATAGCCTCCACATGTGGCGAGGCGAAACCGAGATTCTGGGCACCCATGATCACGGCAAACAGGACAATAACCAAGACGGCTGGTGTGTAAACCCTATCAGGTAGATCACGCTCATCCAGGATTAAAGTAACACCATACCAGATGGCCAAAGCCATGCATAGGTAGATGATCAGCCAGGAGAGGGCATTTCCCATACCCGAATAGAGACCCTTTTTGCGTCCTGTGTTCTCTGCGGGAATAAGCAACTTTCCAAAGCGAGCATTTTCCTTTTCCTGACCACTGAAAGCGAATACAGTACGAATTCCACTGAACACCTCCTCGGCCACATTGGCTGCATCGGAATAGGACTTCAGTTCCTTCTCGGCCAGTGATCCCTGGAGTCTGGCCACCACACTGGTGGCAGCAATGATGAAGGGTACGCAACTGAGGACGACCAAGGTGAGCTTCCAGCCGTAGACAAAGGCCGAAACGATTCCAATCACAAAGGTCATGATGAGGAAGATCACGATTACGACCTTCTCGCCAATGCCCTCTTTTAGTTTGTCCAAGTCTCTGGAAGGGGATAAAAATAAAGAAGGTTTAGATTAAATATTATTAAGAAATTAAAAATTAAAGTACTTAACTACAAAAAACTAAGAAAAAAAGTTTAATATTGTTTTGGTTTTGAAAGAAAAAGTCCAGTAAAGTTAATCTTTCTTACGAAAAGTTAAAAATTTGATTACATTTCTCCCATCCAAATTAATTAAGTTGTTAATATAAGATCACTATCATTGCATGGAATAAATAATTATTCAAAAAACTCTTAATTGACTTCCCAAAATCTGCTGGGAACTTGCAATTGTGTAATCATAAACTAGCCCTGTCATTATATAAGCCACATTGATTGTAATAAATCAGAATGTTAATACAGTTTTCCAGTTTGGCTAATGAATAATTCTAGTTATAGTGCTACTGATTAATTATCATAAATATAATTAAGATTAGTTGCTTCAATTAATACTTGGGAAAAACTCACTCTGTCATTTTGCTGGCGAAATTGGATCCCGAACTGGTGTCATACCAGGCAATATCCTGTCGCAGCATGGCCTCCAGGAAGAGCTTCCTGATGCGATCGATCTGGTTAAGGGCTATTCTGTTGGCCAAATCGATGGCCAGAGTGATGAGCAGAAACATGGCCACAGATCCCACAAGACTGCCAATTCCAAAGGCTGTGGCATCATCGATGATGGCCTGTTTGTTCTCCTCGGCGCTGGCATTTGTTCTGCAGAAGATTTAGTATTAGGAAACCAATCCAGGATGTCCTTAGTTCTTTAAGATCTTACAATTGCTTTCCGCCTCCAAACATTGTCAGAGCAAAGGAGGGTGAGGATGTTCCCACTCCCACTGTTCTATCCACCAGCAGGGATGTGAACTCTCCATAGATGATCATGAAGTAGGGTATAAAGATGGACGCACCGGTGGCCACCAGCAGACTGAATACGAACAGGCAGCGCTCACATGTGGTTGAGTATCTAAACTATAGAAGCGGGAAAATAAAGGATATCTAATGTAGAAAAAATTCTTTGATCTATAACTTTTCTAATCATAACTTACCAGATCAAAGTAACTGTACTTTCGTGTGGTGCTCTCCTCAAGAACTGATCCTTCCTTAGCCTGGAAATCACCAGCCTGCGGCAACTGTGATTCCTCCTTCTTGGCCATTTTGCCTTCTCAGCAATAGTTTAGTATAGTATATCTATATAATGGCTAGCAATAAAGCCTAAGAACAAAGTAAGCAATCAGTAAAGAAACACTTTATCTTTGGTTAGTATTGAGGTCTATAATTTGGATACTGTCAATTAAAGAATTTAGCCACAAGAACAAACAAGAACATGGCCAGTTTGTCGGCTTTTTATCTAACAAATTGGCAATAAAAGTCTGATTATTATCTTAAATTCTAATCCAGTAATAAGAGTTCAGTGCCCTTGAGGCTATCTAAGGAAAGTTACTCAGGGGATGGGCAGGGGAAAATGAAAACTAGTTTAATCCAACTCCTTAAAGCTTCCAAGAAATGCAGATTCCTTTGTTATTGTTTCACATTATCGAAGATTTTTCTACTTATAATTCCAGAAAACTCTTTGCACTAGCACTTTTGCATTTTGCATAATTTCTTGCACTCAATTAAATGGAAATGAATGTATTTACACATCTTGAGAATACGTAATTATTATAGCATTTAAATTAGTAATGCCGATAGATATGCCACCATTTATCACGCTTAAGTGTGTGATAATTAATGTATCTTAACGTATTACATAAAATATGGTAGAAATTATTAGACGGTTAGCGGAGAGCAAAGGGCTAATTAATCAGCAAAAACAATTTTCCCAAGTCAATTTAAGGAAATTAGTTCGATTGAGGGAATGAAAAAGCGTCCATAAATTAATAAATTAACCGCAATTGGAAAGCGAGATACTGTGCGATTGACAATTGCCAACGGCTTGCACTCAAGAATCCAAGGAAGTGGGCAAATCCCACTCCTCATCTCGACTCGGGTTCTCTCTACTGCTTCAATCTGATTGATTCACTTGCTAAGGAAACATCACTACTCATCAAAAATACTCAGAAGATCAATTTAATTTTGTAATAATTAATTCACTTGCTATACACACACTGGCACTTACTTAGCACGTGCCGATCTTTGGTGGACACTTCAATGAATGACTGTTAGAAATCGCGATCGGCTTTAATATATATATATCAGATAACTCAGTTATTGCTTCTCTTGGCCTTTTGGCACTGAAAAGTGCAAGAGACGTCTGAAGCCGACGAGTGCGCGATCTCAACTGGACTAACATCCACTTGACTGCTTGCCACGACAACTCGGTCTCAGAATCTCGGGTCTTTCGGGTTCTGCCATAAACCCGATCGTATACCTAATCGGGGTTTCCCCCCACCTTGGCAACCGTTTGACCATCGAATGCTGGCAAATACTGGTTCCTGGCCCTATCCTGTAACCAAAACAAAACATTATAGCCGCTATAACCGATGCAGATTAGCTAGATAAGATAGCTGCCATCGATTTGGCTCTATGCTTTGTTTGTTATCAGTCACATAACCGGTATTATGATGCAGTGAAGTTGGCTTTAGTTTGGGTCAAAAAAAGAAAATAAATAAATAAATCCATTTGCGTGAATGGTTTTCCCCTCTTGAGAGGTTTTAAGCTGGAAACCATAAGATCAGGGGACTAACCGAGAAGAAATCTGTATCTGTATCGCGTGCGAAAGCAGTTATGATTCATCCCACGGCTCAGGTGTGTGCCGTGAAATACCTGGATTTTGAAAGCATGGTAGCGGCATTCTCACGTTTTTCTTACAGAGACTTCCCCAATCTCAAAGGCGGATTGTTTATGCGTATTCGTTATTTTTAAGGCAAGAAAAACTTTCCAAAGGGACTTCTCCTTTAATCTAATCAGCTTATTGTAAGTATTTTTGCCCATAAAAAAATAACACAATCAAATCAAATTTATATTTGCTTCTAACAAACAGCAAACACATCTGTCGACATTAGATAACTTAAATTGTGGCCAATTTAGACAAGGCTTTTCGAATAGATAGATGGCAAAGGTCTGGTGATTTCGAACATTTGAAATCCGCTGGTGAAATAATAGCCATGGTACTTGAAATCGACGCCATAAAAATGTTCACTTGGTTACGGGACCTAGTCCAATTCGGGCAACGTTATCAATTTTACCAGAAAACAAATTGTTGTTCTAAAAAACCTTTTGCATATTTATAGACGTGGGAAATGATTCGGACAAAGTTGTATATTAATAGAAAGAGAAAGTGCTTCTTAAATGCACTGGCTAGCTTTTTGTTTTCGTATTTAATCAGACTTTTGGCTGGGTTTTATTTTTTAAGACATTAATACTCGTATTTAATGGCAACTCATTAACTCATATCAGGAATGCTGTTTCGTCTGGCAAAGATCTTTGAGAATCGTTTCTTTTGTAAGGTTCTTAAGCTGATAAGACTCATTAAAAGTTTAACCTGTTTTTAATTATTATTATATTCAATATTATAGCTTTGCTTACTTAACAAAAATTGTTTTTAACGGTAACTAAAAGGTTATACTCCAATGCTTAATATTTTCTTCCTAAATTAAGGGTTCTAAAATCTCTTTTATCTTCAAAAATGTATCCAAAAATAATTGTTTTAACACCCCTTAAGGTTGGTAAAACCAAAAACCGCTCTAAATATATTCCATTTTAACGGTTTGACATCATTATTACCCCTCCCTTTCTCGCAGTGTACTTTGAGATAACACTTAATGACGTTGTCGCTCATATTTACTCTTACCTGCTCTTTCTTTCGCTCCCTTCTCTTTCATTTTGCCTGCTGGCTGGCGTAGACAGAGAAAACCAGAATCGTTTCAAAGGAAATCTGGCGTTGACCAATAACGGATAGTTGTGGGAAATGCCAGTTTTAGTTTTTGTTTTTTTTTTTGTCTAATCATAAGCCGCATATGGGTTCAAGGAAGTTCCAGGCATACATGAAGTTCTTTGCTGGTAAAACAGCGCTTTTAATTCCGCACATTAAACCAACTTTTATAATCTACGTGATACAATTTTATTTTGACCTTAAGCTCTCAGTATGCTCGCAAATCGGTAAGTTAACATCTACTAATTGTAATTTCCCAGTTAAAGCGGAAGAAATCGACTGTTTATGGTTTTGCATATAAGTCTTGGACGTAGACGACTTTATGAATGGTTGGTTTTGGGTTTAATATTATTGTTTTGTTAAGAGTTTTGGTTAGTTTTTGGGTTTATAGAGTTTCTAGTAAATGAGGCGCCAAAATACAAAAGTTTGCAGAGATTACAGAGGTTTGTACTTACCAATCGATAACCATTTTAAGCATAGGGTTGTCAGTTACTATAACTTTTTTTTATAATATTTCATTCAGTAACCTCATAGAGTTCTTATATTGCAGTAGAGTACTCTCACTTACCCACACATTGCAGTGCCAATATTACAAGGCATGCCAGTCTAGAACAACCTTGCATAATTAGATCATTATAAAGATAATTCCCTTCTCAGCCCAAACCAAAACAAATCATAAAATCTAAACGCAAGTCATTTAATAACGAACTTAGAACAGAAAGTAATTATTATCGTTGAATAACTTACAAAGTGAATAAATATAATTAGTGCAAAAGTTAATTCAAAGTGTTAATAGTTAATAAATAGGTTTATTTAATAATTAAATAGTTTATACATTTCGGATGTGTCTTTTGGTGTTTCAGAGGTAGCTGAGCTTGGAAGAGGTTTAAATATTATACAATATAGGATATATAATTTGATGATTTAGCAATCATAGCATCTAAAAGTGATATGTAAAGATAATATTTTATAAAGTTTTCAACTTTTCTTTGGATGGTTTAGTTCAGTTTAGCTTAGCCTTCGGATTGTTCAGTTTCAACAAGATTATATAGAGAACACCCATCAATATACCAATCGGATAGCCTGCTGTCTATGGAAGATATCACTTCTAACCAGAACTTCGTAGCTGCTCAACCGGATCTCTTGTCCTCCAAATGGAATCTGCAGACAGCGATTATAGGTTTCAATCACTCCCGGAGTCAGACTTCCGTAATAATGACCCCGGCCAATGTAAAGTGGTTCACCGCTGGGTGTCCTTCCGGCAATAACTGCACCGGGTGGGACATTACCGCCATATGAAGGCACCCAATGGTACTTGCCCTTTCCCACTAACATTTCATAGGAGGGCTCGACAATCTCACGACCTCCATGGGCTACATAGGCACAACCCCGGCTGGGACTGGCTTTTCCCGGAACATAGACACCCCGGTAATAGGCTCTGCAGACCAACAGCTGGGACATGTCGCTGTCGTGACCTCCAACTACGGCATCAGGGGAAAAAAAATAACCCGGTCGGGCGGATACCCAAACGTCATAGCTGTCCTCATAGCCATAGGCATCATAGACCGGTGGTCCTGCACATTCAGCCGGAGTGTAGCAGGAGTAACCTGCTTCATAGGGGCTATAGGTGGAAGCGGGTGTAAACGATGGCCCGGCGGGGACGCATTCTGCAGTGACCTCGGCGGCAACGAGTGTGGGAGGTGGCGCCACGGAAACCTCGGCGGGGGTGAATGATGGAGTTGGAGGCGGCATGACCAGAACTCCACCAGCAGGTGGTGTAGGCGTAGGACGTGGCATCACCATCACACCACCAACTGGTGGAGGAGGAAGTGGATCTGGAGTGGGCGTGTAAGCCGGAGGCCTGTCAGAGATGGGAAATGGCATGGCGGCCAGATCTGGATACGGATATGGCTTGGCAGCCAGTGGAGGAGCAATTGCTGGCGGGGAAGGTGGTGGCGGCGGTGTAAGCGGGCACTTCTCCGCCAGTTCTAGTGGTGGAGGTGGTGGTGGCATTTGCCATCCGGGAACCACACGACGTTCCTCCACGAGAATCTCATAGGAATCAAGGCGACGTTCGGCTCCTCGAAAAGCGATAAACAGGGCTCTATGTACCGAGGAGATCTTGCCGATGATGAGGTGTCCTTCGTAATGACCTCTTCCTATATACACTGGTTGATCCAACGAAGTCCGTCCACAGAGTACTGCATTCTCGGGGATGACATGATCATAGCACTTAATCCACACCAGATTCTGACCGCACAGCACTTCGAAGATATCCTTGGGTAGGGCTTCTCCACGCTGGGAAATGAATCCCAATTGCTTGCTGGGCACCACCTTGCAGACCAACATATCGCCCTCGTGCTCCGCCCTGCCCACATAAATCATGGCGCCGTCCTCATCGTTGCCGCCCACCACTGCCTCCTCGGGTAGAGAGGAATAGGCCGAGGATTGTACCCATTTGTAGGCTGAAAGTTGATAAAGATTGGATGTTATTAAGGTTAAGTTTATAAGTTTGGTTTAAGGTTATCTAATAGTTGGGAAGCGAATAATGTAAGGAAGTGCCTTTGATTACAAAATAGCTTATCTTAGTTCGTAAAATCCACTGGATGCAACCATCAATAAACTAATCGATTAATAGTTATACAAAATCAATAACTCTGAGGGTTTATAATGCATAGCCAAGCAAGCTAAGTGCATGGTTAAGACTTCCTGATAAAGCTATTTGATAAGAAAGAAAAACTTATTTAACAGATTTGTGTGATAACAGTCGATTTATTAAGTGCGATTACAGTTTGATGTGGGCTAAATGCATATGGTATTTATGTGGCTTCCAATCCGCTAAGTTATTGCCTGCAGAGGATCTCATAGGAGTTGACACGAATCTCCCGGCCTCCGTAGGGAATGAAGAGACAACGCTGACTGGCCGAGACCAGACCCGGAGTCAGACTACCCTGATAGTGTCCACGTCCATAGTAAAGGATCTCTCCATTCCGAGCACGACCCGTGGAAACGGCATTGTGTGGAATGTGATGGCCACCATGAAGCCAGACATAGCCGCCACCGGTGAGCACCTCGTAGGTGGGTTTCTGGAATTCGAAGCCGCCAAAGCAAACATAGGCGGATCCCTTACTGGGCACCACTTTGGCGGGAAGCATTTCACCCTCGTGCATCGCCCGTCCGGCATAGATGGGAGTACGATCCGAATCGTGTCCGGCAATCACTGCACCCGGTGGTGTGTAGCTAGGTGAGGCAGGCACCCAAACATCATGCTGCTGCTTGATGAGCACTTCATAGGTATTAATGCGCACCTCCTGTCCACCGAAGGGAATGTACAGACAGCCATGGGAGGGATGAACTTTGCCCACAGACAAGCTACCGGCATGATGTCCACGTCCCACGTAGAGAGGCTCTCCGGTACGTGTAGTTCCACTCCTAACCGCATTTGGCGGCACTCCACCACTGGCACTAGGCACCCAAGCGAATCCCTGACCGACCAGCACTTCGTAATGGTGCTTCTGGTGCTCGGCACCGCCATAGGCCACATAGGCGCAACCCTTGCTCGGGATGACCTTGGCCGGCAGATTTTCGCCTTCGTGAAAGGATCGACCCACATAGATGGGCGTGCGATCCGAGTCATGGCCACCGACCACCGCATAAGCGGGCAAGGGAGCGTGAGGAGACGAGTGCACCCAGGTGTTGTCTGCAAGGAGAGAGGGCAGTTAAGCGATAAGCTTGGCACCACGCGATAAGATAGCCTATCCATACACAGAGAGAAAACTAAGAGTAACAGCAAAGGGTCATTCTTTAGATTCTATTATTCAGGTAAATAATGGCTTTTATATCTCAAAACAAGGCAATTAAAAATTTAAACTTTGATAAGATATTGGATTAAGAAAGATATAGAATTTAATTTACATGAAATGATTCATTCGACACTCATAGCGGCTTTTTCTCTGTGTAGATATTTAACTTGCTGTACGATTTATGGCTTTTGAAGGTCTGGGGCGGGGATCAAGTGGGATTTAAGGGGGCTTTCACAGAGGCGTAGGGTTACACGTTACACCCTGGGAACACTGCACTCGTCCTACCAATGGTCACAATTCCTCCTGGCTGCACGTTGCCTGGAAGAGTGCAAAGAAAGGCGGAGAACCTTAAAAGTCACTCAATGTTCTTTGCAAGGGTTTTTTGGGGGTTAAAATGGACAGAAGGGTTAGTATACTAATACCAGGAAACTGGTCTAAATCCGGTAAGATCTTAACTGCTAAACATAGAATTTCAAACACCCTTTTAAATCTTCAGATGCAGTACGAACACCCAAGATTGTTAGATTTCACCTCAAACTAACTTAGTATTTGCATTAAGGAAGATTCTTTTTTGCAATTATTGCCGCTTATTCATCCAACTTACCCATTGTGTGTTATTTGTTGATAAGAGGTTATTCCTTTTATATCTTATATGTATATATAGTATCTCCCCGGAACGTCTGATCAGACTGAGGTTTACTGTTTCACTAAATTGCAGGCCCGCGCTTGGCCGACGTTTAAAAACCGAACCCGAACTATTTGTCATCGCCTCTTATCAGCGAGCTTTTATCTATCAATTCGTATTTTTATGGCAAAACAACTGGAAATGATATTGGGCCCTATTGATATCTCTGTTTTCCAGTCAGTCATGAAAGCTCATGTTCCAGAAAAGTATTTCCTTTATCGATGGATGATGAATCATTGCCCCAAACATTGTGTTCTTTTTGGGGTAAGGGGGAAGGGTAAGGAAAGCGAGGCACCTTGTTACATATGGCATTGTTGTTGGCACTCAACAGGTGGAACCCCAATTTAATGAACCCATAAACAATATGACGCCTTTCAGAACCGACGATACTGAAAAAACCCCCCAAAACTGAAGTGTCGATTAGTCGCTCCCAAAAATTTCTTAAGTGAACTTTTTGAGGAAAATCTTTAGGGATTAAAGGTGTTCTTGCTTAAGGGATAAGTTTTTATATATCTTTGATATTAGAAGCATATATTTTTATTATATGGTATTATTTATCTTTAAGCATAAGATGATATAAGGTATCTGTAGTTGTATCTGTTTTTTCTCTTTTCACTTTTTAACTCTTTAAATTCAGCTCTTCTTTTGTACTTAAGGGCAATAACCCTACGTTTTGTATTATTAATTAAACAGAAAATTCATAATAAGTATAAGAAGATAGAACATTCTTTTGTTTAAGATATCAATTACAAACTATAAATAAATATTACTCAGCTTGGCGCTTCCAGTATAAGCTTAAATCGCATTTTACTCATTTTCCAAAGAAAAGGAGTGTCCTTTCCTTAACACATTATTAATTTTAAATATGAATAAGCTTATAAGATTAGTAAATTCTTCATTTCTAAGTGAAATCAATAAACCAATTATATATCTTCATATGCTAGCTACTTACTGTTTTGTTCTAGAAATAAATTCCTTAACTTTGAAGTTGATCCATGGCCGGCAACATACGTGTACATATACCTTTTTACGAACTTATTGATCAAGTTTATTTTTGACTGCCGTCGATAAGATTCCCCAGGTAACTGCTTATAGATAAAATCACATATATATATACTTACATATATATAAGATCGATTGAGTAATTGTCGTTCCCCTTCCTGTTGAGCAAGTAATTTAAATGGTGTTTTTGGCCAAGCTAAATCAGCCAGCAGACAATCTGACACACCTGTCAGTTGGTGCCAATGACGAACACCAGCTAGCAGAGGATCCCTTTTTGTCAGACAAACATATATACATATAAATAGTCACAGCCAGAGTGACTAAGATATCTTATCAATGTCGGTTAGTATTGCCGACTGCCTGATAAGAGGCTACAACAGCTTTTAAGACGCAACCGCTGTGCAACCAGAGACCAGTCGTTAAAGTCAGTTCCATTTGAACGGAGCCAGCGAGTATATATAACACAACGTTCCAAACCTAAGTCAACAACTAAAGAAAACACCATGGGAGGTGAGAAAAATGAGTGCAAACTACTTAGTTAGTGACTAAGATTATTCCAGTGAAAACGAAAACTTAGTGCCATAATTAGCAATGACAGGTGGCCGCCAAGTGTCATCGATACTCTGCTCACCTGACACCCGAAATCCCTTTGGAGCTTTGGAAGCTTTCCATAGATCCAACTAGATTTCACACCCGGCTAGATAACGAAAATAGACAGAGTGGGGAGGTCTGATTAATGGGGTACAGTTGGGCCTCGTAGTTAAGTGATATCGAATCTAACTTTGTTCCAAATATTCACTCTTCGCCTGCAGAATACACCTGGATTAGCTCGAATGTTTATGGTTCTCTGCCACCTGGCGCCATCCTGGCTGGTCATGATTCCGATCAGGATCCCATCTATGTAGGTCGCGCCTATCACAATGGAGAAATGCTCCCGGCTAAGATTGTGCCTGGCAAGCAGCAGGCCTACGTTCCATGGGGTGGTCAGGAGATCAGCAAGCATGACTTTGAGGTCCTTGTAGGCGATCATTATACCTGGATCCCGGCCAGCGGTGGATTTGTACCGCCTCATGCCATTCGTGTAGGCCAGACCGGCGAGGGTGAGCCTCTGTATGTGGGACGTGGCTACTTCCAGGGTAGTCTTACTCCCGGAAAGGTTCATCCTTCCCACCAGTGCTTGTACATCCCGTACGGTGGACAGGAACATCGTCTGGAGGCCTATGAAGTTCTGGTCCAGCCGGAAACTTGGATTCCCTCATCTGGACGTGGGCTTGTTCCCGGAACTGTGGTTGGTGGACACGACGCCGATGGCGATCAGATCTATGTTGGTCGCGCCTACCACGAAGGCGATTTGCTGCCAGCTAAGGTAGGTTTAAGCCTTTTTAATATTAAAGAAACCGACTAACTTCCCTCCTTTTTATCCAACAGGTAATCCCCAACAAGGGCTGTGCCTATGTGCCCTACGGCGGCGGTGAGGTGGTTAAGCATGACTATGAGCTGCTGGCCGGATACGGTTATGGATGGGTGCACGACAGCCAAGGGAATGTGCCCGGCAATGCCGTTCTCTGCGGTCGCACTGCCGACGGTGAACCCCTGTTCATCGGCCGTGCCCACCACCATGGCAGTCTGACGCCCGGAAAGATCCATCAGTCCCATCACTGCCTGTACATCCCATTCGGTGGCGAGGAGGTCCGTATAGACCACTACGAGGTCCTGGTCAAGGGCTAAGCTGTTATAGTTTCTGCTTTCCTCCCCCCGTTTCCTCTGCCAACTAATTTATAACTCATCTTGTCATTAAAAATGTCCTTCCACTAAAGTGCTTTCTTGGAGTTTTTCAATGGGTTAAGTGACTATGTTTATTGGTTTAACAGATTTATCAGTTTTTTACTTATCCTATATAGTAGTTTAGCTTCATTTTGGCCAAAATAAATAAAGGACAGTCTTACGCTAAACCAGTGGGTACCTGGCAAAGGAGGCGATGCCGCAGTGATTATTCGCATTCCTCAACATCTTGACGTAACCATCGATGCCCCAACTGGTGCCCCAAAAGTTCTTCACCAACCAGTAATCCGTACCATTCGAATCCGTTCCATATCCAACGACAAGGGCAGCATGGCTATTATTCCGGGGACTGCATTTCGGCTCTCGGTAAACATCCGAGGAGTACGAATGGAAGGAGTCGTGGGAGCCATCAATGCTGACATATACTGGACCAAAGAAAGCCACAGCCTCGGCTAGTTTCTTCTCATCACCATGGGGTATTTTCACAAAACCCGAGCTAGTGGCTCCGATCGTGGCGTTCTGAGATTTGCATTCACCTTGGACACCCTTATAGGGATAGGAATACTCCGTGGCAATGCCACCATTATCCTTTACATAGGCTACAGCTTCAGCCATCCAACCGCCTTTGCAACCCTGATTTCCATAACTGTCAGAGCAATCTAGGAGATGTTGTGGAGACAGCGGAATGAGTTTTCCCGTCTTCCGGAAGTGGTGACCTTCCAATGCTGCTGCCGTGACAAGGGCCCAGCAGCTGCCGCACTTAAAGCCCTGATGTCTCACTGGGGTCACTGCGCCCTTGGATCTCCAGTCCACGGACTCAGGAAGGGTGGAGTACTCAGGCGAGATGAAGGTGGTGCCACTGGGCAAGAAGGAAGATATTTGTTAGTAACAGGAAATCAAATATGGTTAACAGTTTAACTTACCGCATATCCTGGTTCTTGACGATGTTAAAGGCATTCATCATCTGATTGATCTCCTTGTTGTACATGTCGGTGAACTGATTTATGGCCAGCTTGAAGTTTTCCAGGCCCATGGCGAATCGGTGGTTGTGCATATTGATGCGGACTTTGTTCTCCTGGAAAATCTCCTTGCGAATGAGCTCCTCGGTCTTATCCCGGTAACTCTTGCCATGCTGTAGCTTAAAGCTGTGCCACTCCTTCTGATTCAAGGATCCCGGATGAGAGATTGCCAGTGGCATCAGAACAACAAGTATCAAGATCTGTTTCATTTTTGAACTTTATCCCGGCTAAGTTAACTCAAATTTGCGACTACTCTTTAATAAGTTCAGACAAAGTATAAAAATTCTCAATAACTAGCAGCAGTATTTATAGTACTGAAATGATTGGAAAATTTCCAAACTTTTTTAAATTTTTGAACCAAAATGGTATTTCCTTTAAAGTTGATGAGGCGCAGTCTCTTATGTCGCAAATTATTCGCATTACTAGAACAAATATTGAATATCATTATGAAAAGATGCTGAACTACGTAGACAGAAGTCTGACAAATCGGAAGTTGGGGTCATCCCCAGGCGCAAGTTGTTGATTCACCCGCAGCGTAACGCACTTCCGCAGAAGTTCTCTTTATCATTTATTAGTGGAAAGTGTTAAAGCAAGAATAATACTGTAATTAAATGCCATTAACATCACTAGCATCTATATCTATTCTTCAGAAATCAAGGAGCTTACATACAATGCTAGCTATCATGGACACTTATGATGATTTAACAGTTTTATATTGCAAAAATATATAGAAAACTTATAAAAATAGACTATAAAAACAATATGAACAATATAACAACAACAATAACATAACATAAATCCACTTAAATATAAAATATTTAACTTAAATTTAAGCATAATTTCTAAACTAATGCAAAAAGTGATATATTAGTCCCAAGTTGGAAGTGAGAAATCTCTCCATATATGAATTATATACAGTCATATGATTTATGACGAAATGTGTTGGTTATGACGACTATAACCTATAGCAGCCATAGGAATGTTGATGAGTTTCATCATTATAAATAATATAAACAAGTTTGTTAACCAAAAAGAAAGTTCTGAACTAAACCAATGGGTAAATGGCAACACTAGCGATGCCACAGTGATTATTCGCATTGCGCAACATCTTTATGTAGCCATTAATGCCCCATTTCTTGCCCCAAGAGTTCTTAACTAGCCAGTATTCCTTGCCGTTTTTAGTAGTTCCAAAGCCAACAACCAGGACAGCGTGGTTTAAGGCGGTGGCGTTGCAAGCTGGCTCTTCATAAACTCCCCTGGAGTACAGTTTAAAGGATGGATGGGAGGAATCTATGGCCGCGATCACGGGTCCAAAAAAAGCCACAGCCTCTGCCAGTTTCTTCTCGTCACCTTGAGGTATGTGCACATAACCCGAGCTAGTGGCTCCTATCATGGCCCTCTCCATGTTGCATTCTCCTTGAAGCCCTCTATAGGGATACGATTGCTCTGTGGCAATGCCACCATTATCCTTTATGTAGTCAATAGACTCAGCCATTGATCCGCCTAGGCAGCCGTGGTTTCCATAGCTGTTAGAGCAATCCAACAGATGTTGAGGAGACAGCGAGATGAGCTTTCCCGTCTTCCGGAAGTGCTGACCTTCCAAGGCTCCTGCCGTAACGTGAGCCCAGCAGCTGCCGCACTCAAAGCCCTGATGTCTGACCTGGGTCACTGCTCCCTTGGATCTCCAATCCACGAATTTTGGCAGGGTTGAGTATTCAGGCGATATGAAGGTTGATCCACTAGCAACACAGAAAATGTTTAATAAATATTGGTTATTGGCTAAAACTTTAAGTTAACTTACTTATTCCTGCTTTTGGCTAAGTCAAAGGCGTTCATCATGAAGTTGATCTCAGTGTTGTACATGTCGCTGAACTGGTTAATGGCCAGCTTAAAGGTCTCCATACCCTTGGCAAATCGCAAATTGTGCTGATTAATGTTGATCTTAATCTCATGGAATATCTTCCTTCGCAGAAACTCCTCGTTGCTGTCCTGGTAAGACTTGGCGTGCTGGAGCTTAAAGTCCTGCCAATCCTTAAGAGAATTTTGATCTAAGGCTACCGGATGGGACATCGTCAGAGGTGTCAGAAGAACAAGAATCAAGATCAGCTTCATGTCTTCTCTAATCCTGGATTAACCAAATCGAATATGCAACTAGTCTCGAATAAGTTCTAATTTATTCTAAAAATTACTCGCAACCAACAGCTGTATTTATGCAAATGAGATAAATAGCTGAATTTTCTAAAAATTATTATTTCCGGAAATTGAAAATAAATAATCAAGACGTGCGCTGTAGTTTCGTGACGCGACTAGCACACACCCGTAACTTTGCTGAACTATTTTAAAAGATTCTGATCTTGATTAAGAATATATAAGCCTTAAAGAGTGATCTGGTCGAGTAGGAAAATAAACTGCGATTTCAAAGAGATTCTGAAATGCGTAACTCGATTTTTATGACTCATATTGAGTCAACCCCAAACGCTCATTAGCTCACGCACTCTACGACATTCTGAAGGGGTTCCCTCTGTCTGATAAAATTATATAAACTTTTAAAACGCAATTCATATTGCGAGTATAAAAAAGTAAGTAACGTATTATTATTATAATTACAATACAATAAATATACAATAAATAATTCCTCTTGAAGGAAACTTTTCTATTAAACCAGAGGAAACGTGGGATAGTTGGCGATGCCGCAGTGATTATTAGCATTGCGTATGATCTTGAAATATCCATCAATTCCCCATTTGGTACCCCAAGAGTTCTTCACCAGCCAGTAATCCTTACCAGACTCAGTGCCGTAACCAACAACTACGACAACGTGAGTAAACTTTTGGGTGCGACAAGCGGGATCTTGGTAAATTCCTGAGGAGTACGAATGAAAGGAAGTTTGATTAGCGTCAAAAGACACGGATACGGGTCCAAAGAAAGCGACAGCCTCGGCGAGTTTCTTCTCGTCTCCATAGGGTAATTCTACAAAACCCGAACTTGTGGCTCCGATTGTGGTGTCGGTCATGTTGCAGTTTCGCTGGACGCCCATATAGGGATACGATTGTTCGGTGGCAATCCCACCACTATCCTTTATGTAGGCAAAAGATCTTGAGTCTAAGCCGCCTTGGCATCCATTATTTCCATAACTGCCAGAACAATCCACCAGATTTTGGGGCGACAACGGGATGAGTTTTCCGGTCTTTCTAAAGTGTTGACCCTCTAAAGCTCCTGCAGCAGCAAAGGCCCAGCAGCTCCCACACGTGTATCCCTGATGTTTGACCGGGGTAACTGCGCCCTTTAATCTCCAATCCACGGACTCAGGAAGGGTGGAGTATTCCGGCGTTATAAAGGTTGAACCACTGGAACGCAAGACAATAATGATTGGTATGATTATTTTTCATTCCAAATTTCCCTTTACCGTTGCTTATGGCTGTGGGTGAAACGAAAATCGTTCATCATTTGATTCATTTCGGTGGTCAGCAAGTCGGTGAACTGGTTTACAGCCCGCTTAAAGGTCTCCAGACCCTTAGAAAATCGCAGGTTGTGCTGCTGAATGAGTTCCTTATTCTGGTGGTAGACATTCCTACGCGAGAGCTCCTCGGCCTCATCCTGGTAGGTCTTTCCATGATCTAGCTTATAGTCCTGCCATTCCTTGTGTGAATTTGGAACAGAGGATCCGGGCTGAGCAAGCACCAAGACAGCTGGAAGAAGGAATAATAAAATCTTCAGCATCGTGAGTAGAAAAGACCTGGAACACGCTACTGCTACTACTACGGATTAAATCCCATTCCTCTTCGGTTACTGTTTTTATAGCAGAGAAATATATAAATAACTTCTTAAACTTCCATAAAACTCTATATATGAGCATATCTACCATGTCCATTTACATCCGCTTTCCCGATAAAAATACGAGTGTGACGTTGGAAACGTTATTTGGTTGAACCATGTACGTCATTAAGCATATTGTTGAGCAACTAAGAGTTTTTAGTTTCTTTAGAATAAATAAATCGGGGCAGTTCAATTTCCAAATTTGTATTACGAGTTCAAATCAAACCAAATTAACTCCGCAACAAAACCACGCCGACTGCAAAGTAGTACAGCTTAACAACAAAAGCTTCGTGCTACATCAGTTCTACAAAGCTCCCAATAGCGCATGCGCTGCAAAGTAACAGTAAAGCGCATGCGAAACTGAGATAATCAAAACAAACTAGAAACTGCGGATAAACCCGCCACTGCTCATCCGTCGTTGCTTCGGCTGCTTGGCCCAACACATATGTATCTGGTTACATAAAGCTAACAAATTGAGAATTATAAGTGTTTGAATTCACTTTAATTCATTTCCTTTGAGTGCATTCGATCTTATTAGAGTTCATTTTTGTTCATATGACTTAGAAACATAAAGAAACCTTAACAAGGCTATATTGAAACTCATTGTTTCCTCACTCGGCTGGTATGCTCTCGAGGAGTACGACTCACCTTAAACTTTAAGGCTTAAAATATCTTTGAACAGATCTATGTCGGTCGCACCTACAACGAAGGTGATATTAGGGTTATAGATCCACCAGTCACATCACTGCCTGTACATCCCATTCGATGCCGAAGAGGTCCGTATAGACCACTACAAGGTCCTGGTCGTAGTAGTGTAGTGTAGTTTCTGCTCCTCCCAGTCTCCCGACTGCAAACTAATTTATAGCTCATCTTGTCATTAAAAATTTCCTTCCACTTTCTTGGAGTTTTCCATTGGGTTAAGTGACAATTTATCAGTTATTTATCAGATTTATCAGTTTTTTACTTATTTTGGCCAAAATAATACAACTACGATATAGAATAATTTTGTATATAATTATATCATTAAATTAGTTTCTTTAAATTGTAAATAAACTATAAGACAAGTTATTTCAATTATAATACCTAAACCAAATAGTTAATCTTAAAGAAAATTTTTTACTAAACCAAAGGCAATACGGGATAGCTAGCGATTCCGCAATGATTATTCGCATTGCGTATGATCTTGAAATATCCATTAATTCCCCATTTGGTACCCCAAGAGTTCTTCACCAGCCAGTAATCCGTACCAGACTCAGTGCCGTAGCCAACAACTACTGCAGCGTTCATAGGATTTTTGTTACAAGCAGGATTTTGGTAAATTCCCGAGATGTACGAATAAAAAGAGGTTTCAGTACTATCAAAAGACACGGCTACGGGTCCAAAGAAAGCTACAGCCTCGGCGAGTTTCTTCTCGTCTCCATAGGGTAATTCCACAAAACCCGAACTAGTGGCTCCGATTGTAGTGTCGCTCATGTTGCATGTACCTTGGACGCCTGTGTAGGGATACGATTGTTCGGTGGCAATCCCACCATTATCCTTTATGTAGGCGAACGATTGTTTTGGCCAGCCGCCATTGCATCCATTATTTCCATAACTGCCAGAACAATCCACCAGATTCTGCGGAGACACTGAGATAAGTTTTCCAGTCTTCCTAAAATGTTGACCCTCTAAAGCTCCTGCAGCAGCAAAGGCCCAGCTGCTGCCACACGTGTATCCATGGTGTTTGACCGGGGTAACTGCGCCCATTGATCTCCAATCCACGGACTCAGGAAGGGTGAAGTATACCGGCGATATGAAGGTTGAACCACTGGAACGAAAGATAGAAGAATATGGAAAACAATGATTAATTTAATTAATTTGCCATGATTATTTTTCAATTCAAAATTATTTTACCTTGGCACTTGGGTGTGGGTAAAGCTGGAGTCGCTCATCATTTGGTTCATTTCGGTGGTCAGCAAGTCGGTGAACTGGTTTACAGCCAGCTTGAAGGTCTCCAGACCCTTAGAAAATCGCAGGTTGTGCTGCTGAATGAGTTCCTTATTCTGGTGGTAGACATTCCTACGCGAGAGCTCCTCGGCCTCATCCTGGTAGATCTTGCCATGCTTTTGCTTAAAGTCCAGCCAATCTTGGTATGAAATCGGATTAGGGGATCCGGGCTTAGCAAGCACCAAGACAGCTGGAAGAAGGAATAGTAATGACTTCTTCATATTGTGTAGAAAAAGCCTGCAACTTGTTACTCCGGCTACTCGGGATTAAATCCAATCCTTCATAACATGCTGTTTTTATAGCAAAAAAATGTATTAATATTTTTATCAATTTCCATGAAAATATTTTAATCAACAATGTTCATTCACATAAAGTCTTGGCGATAAAAATACTAGAATGAGGTTCGTAATCTTCTTAGTAAGAAAATGATGTATTTAATCATTAGCTTTTAATGAACAAGAATGGAAATGCCAGAATCGGATGCTGATATCACATGTTTTAGCTGTTTAAGTAATTAAAGTTCATTTGGATTCACTTTTACCAAACAGAAAGTTCTGAACTAAACCAATGGGTAAATGGCAGCACTAGCGATGCCACAGTGATTATTCGCATTGCGTAACATCTTGATGTAGCCATTAATGCCCCATTTCTTGCCCCAAGAGTTCTTAACTAGCCAGTATTCCTTGCCGTTTTTAGTAGTTCCAAAGCCAACAACCAGGACAGCATGGTTTAAGGCGGTGGCGTTGCAAGCTGGCTCTTCATAAACTCCCCTGGAGTACAGTTTAAAGGATGGATGGGAGGAATCTATGGCCGCGATCACGGGTCCAAAGAAAGCCACAGCCTCTGCCAGTTTCTTCTCGTCACCTTGAGGTATGTGCACATAACCCGAGCTAGTGGCTCCTATCATGGCCCTCTCCATGTTGCATTCTCCTTGAAGCCCTCTATAGGGATACGATTGCTCTGTGGCAATGCCACTATTATCTTTTATGTAGTCAATGGACTCAGCCGTTGATCTGCCTAGGCAACTTTATTATTAAAATAACAATAACAATTATTAAACTAAATAATTCATCTTAAAGGAAACTTTTCTATTAAACCAGAGGAAACGTGGGATAGTTGGCGATGCCGCAGTGATTATTAGCATTGCGTCTGATTTTGAAGTATCCTTTAATTCCCCATTTGGTACCCCAAGAGTTTTTCACCAGCCAGTAATCCTTACCAGAATCAGTACGAATGAAAGGAAGTTTGATTAGCGTCAAAAGACACGGATACGGGTCCAAAGAAAGCTACAGCCTCGGCGAGTTTCTTCTCGTCTCCATAGGGTAATTCCACAAAACCTGAACTTGTGGCTCCGATTGTGGTGTAGGTCATGTTGCAGTTTCGTTGGACGCCTGTGTAGGGATACGATTGTTCGGTGGCAATCCCACCATTATCCTTTATGTAGGCAAAAGATCTTGAGTCTAAGCCGCCTTGGCATCCATTATTTCCATAACTGCCAGAACAATCCACCAGATTTTGGGGCGACACTGAGATGAGTTTTCTAGTCTTCCTAAAATGTTGACCCTCTAAAGCTCCTACAGCAGCAAAGGCCCAGCAGCTCCCACACGTGTATCCCTGATGTTTGACCGGGGTAACTGCGCCCTTTAATCTCCAATCCACGGACTCAGGAAGGGTGGAGTATTCCGGCGTTAAGAAGGTTGAACCACTGGAACGAAAGATAGAAAAATATGGAAAACAATGATTAATTGAATTAATTGCCACGATTATTTTTTATTCCAAAATTATTTTACCTTTTCACTTGGCTGTGGGTAAAGCTGGAGTCGCTCATCATTTGGTTTATTTCGGTGGTCAGCAAGTCGGTGAACTGGTTTACAGCCAGCTTAAAGGTCTCCAGACCCTGGGAAAACCGCAGGTTGTGCTGCTGAATGAGTTCCTTATTCTGGTGGTAGACATTCCTACGCGAGAGCTCCTCGGCCTCATCCTGGTAGGTCTTTCCATGATCTAGCTTATAGTCCTGCCATTCCTTGTGTGAATTTGGAACAGAGGATCCGGGATTAGCAAGCACCAAGACAGCTGGAAGAAGGAATAATAAAATCTTCAGCATTGTGAGTAGAAAAGACCTGGAACACGCTACTGCTACTACTACGGATTAAATCCCATTCCTCTTCGGTTACTGTTTTTATAGCAGAGAAATATATAAATAACTTCTTAAACTTCCATAAAACTCTATATATGAGCATATCTGAAATGTCCATTTACATCCGCTTTCCCGATAAAAATACGAGTGTGACGTTGGAAACGTTATTTGGTTGAACCATGTACGTCATTAAGCATATTGTTGAGCAACTAAGAGTTTTTAGTTTCTTTAGAATAAATAAATCGGGGCAGTTCAATTTCCAAATTTGTATTACGAGTTCAAATCAAACCAAATTAACTCCGCAACAAAACCACGCCGACTGCAAAGTAGTACAGCTTAACAACAAAAGCTTCGTGCTACATCAGTTCTAAAAAGATCCCAATAGCGCATGCGCTGCAAAGTAACAGTAAAGCGCATGCGGAACTGAGATAATCAAAACAAACTAGAAACTGCGGATAAACCCGCCGCTGCTCATCCGTCGTTGCTTCGGCTGCTTGGCCCAACGCATATGTATCTGGTTACATAAAGCTAACAAATTGAGAATTATAAGTGTTTGAATTCACTTTAATTCATTTCCTTAGAGTGCATTCGATCTTATTAGAGTTCATTTTTGTTCATATGACTTAGAAACATAGAGAAACCTTAACAAGGCTATATTGAAACTCATTGTTTCCTCACTCGGCTGGTATGCTCTCGAGGAGTACGACTCACCTTAAACTTTAAGGCTAAAAATATCTTTGAACAGATCTATGTCGGTCGCACCTACACCGAAGGTGATATAAGGGTTATAGATCCATCAGTTACATCACTGCCTGTACATCCCATTCGATTCCGAAGAGGTCCGTATAGACCACATTGAGGTCCTGGTCCAGGGCTAAGCTTATATAGTTTCTGCTTCTCCCAGTTTCGACTGCAAACTAATTTATAGCTCATCTTGACATTAAAAATGTCCTTCCAATAAAGAGCTTTCTTGGAGTTTTCCATTGGGTTAAGTGACTATTTATCAGTTATTTATCAGATTTATCAGTTAACCTAAAACAAATAGTTAATTTTAAAGAAAAGTTTGTACTAAACCAAAGGCAATACGGGATAGCTTGCGATTCCGCAATGATTATTCGCATTGCGTATCATCTTGATATATCCATTAATTCCCCATTTGGTACCCCAAGAGTTCTTCACCAGCCAGTAATCCGTACCAGACTCAGTGCCGTAGCCAACAACTACGGCAGCGTGAACATAACTATTCTTACGACAAGCAGGATTTTGGTAAATTCCTGATGAGTACGAATGAAAAGAGGTTTCACTATTATCAAAAGACACGGCTACGGGTCCAAAGAAAGCTACAGCCTCGGCGAGTTTCTTCTCGTCTCCATAGGGTAATTCCACAAAACCCGAACTAGTGGCTCCGATTGTAGTGTCGCTCATGTTGCATGTACCTTGGACGCCTGTGTAGGGATACGATTCTTCGGTGGCAATCCCACCATTATCCTTTATGTAGGCGAACGATGGTTTTGGCCAGCCGCCAATGCATCCAATATTTCCGTAACTCCCAGAGCACTCCACCAGATTTTGGGGCGACAGTGAGATGAGTTTTCCAGTCTTTCTAAAATGTTGACCTTCTAAAGCGCCTACAGCAGCGAAGGCGTAGCAGCTGCCACACGTGCGTCCCTGGGTTTTTATCGGGGTCACTGCGCCCTTTGATCTCCAATCCACGAACTCAGGAAGGGTGGAGTATACCGGCGATATGAAGGTTGAACCACTGGAACGAAAGATAGAAGAATATGGAAAACAATGATTAATTTAATTAATTTGCCATGATTATTTTTCAATTCAAAATTATTTTACCTTGGCACTTGGGTGTGGTTAAAGCTGGAGTCGCTCATCATTTGGTTCATTTCGGTGGTCAGCAAGTCGGTGAACTGGTTTACAGCCAGCTTGAAGGTCTCAAGACCCTTGGAAAATCGGAGGTTGTGCTGCTGAATGAGTTCCTTATTCTGGTGGTAGACATTCCTACGCGAGAGCTCCTCGGCCTCATCCTTGTAGATCTTGCCATGCTCTTGCTTAAAGTCCAGCCAATCTTGGTATGAAACCGGATTAGGGGATACGGGCTTAGCAAGCAACAAGGAAGCTTGAAGAAGGAATAAGAAAGACTTCTGCATATTGTGTAGAATAGGTCTGCAACTGGTCACTCCGGCTACTCGGGACTAAATCCAATCTTTCACAAATTGCTGTTTTTATAGAGGTGAAATGTATATGTAAATTTCCATAAAAATATATTAATAAACCTAACAACAATGTTCATTCACATAAAGTCTTGGCGATAAAAATACTAGAATGAGGTTCGTAATCTTCTTAGTAAAAGAAAATGATGAACCATTTTCTTTTAATGAAACAAGGATGGAAGAGCCAGAATGAGATGCTGAATTGATTGATTTAGCTGTTTAATTAATTTAAGATCATTTGGATTCTTTTTCTTTAGTTTCATGAGTTTTCATTTGGGTTAGAAGACTCAGAAAACATACCGAATCTTAAGAAGGTTTTACTGGAAATCATAGTCCCCCCTAACATGATAAGTTAACTTCCAGGGAGTACAACCTTCCTTAAATTTTTTTTGAAAGAAATGGTTACCACACCCTTTAGCTCGGTAAGTCTGTAACACCCTGAGTTATGCTTCACTTTGCGGAGCTTTTACTGAGCTTTCCGATGATTTTCTACATGGGGTGTAGATGTCATGTAAAGCTATAAGCCAGAGGGTCGAATATCATCTGGCTTGGTTTTCCCCAACCGCATACACACACTCTCTTGTTCTCGCTCTCACACACGCTCTTTCTCTCACTCACGCTCGCCGTCGCTGCTTGAATGCCATTGGTCGTTTGTTTCGTTCATCGGCTGCTCTCTCTAATGATTGGCCAACTTAAAATGAAGCCGCTCCCAGAACTCGAACTCAATTGCCCTTCTGTGGCAAGTTCTTCGGCTTTGTGGACGTGGCCAACTATAAGTGGCAAGTGGCCAAGATAAGGCGGTCTCTAATTTGGTACATTTATTTATTAGCTCGCTTTACAACATAAGCCTTGAAAAACTTGATTATTGGTTTTAGACATACTCCGAAAAGTTTTAAGTTTTTCAAAATGTTCGTTTGTTGATATTTCTATGGGGAAATATTTTCAAAAAGTCTTGCCGCTTCAAACTGGTTTTCGTGGACCACTCACCTGGGGCCTGAAAATGCCGTCGCCTTTTACCGCTTCCATTAAACTGGCTCCAAACAAAAACCAAGCTGCTTAAAACAAGATTTTGTTAACGGCTTTGAATTGAACAGCTTTTAAGCTGAAAAAAAAAATTTTAATTTTATGATGATTATATAACAAAATCTATATAAATATGAATTCTAGGTTATATAGCACAAAATCGCAATTAAAATCAACATTACTTTGATTTTGTATACTTTTGTAAAATGTAACTTAAAGTTAAAGTTTAATTTTATATTAAATAATAACAACATAAGTTCTGGAAACTGTGCTTACTGATTAACAAATTTTATTACTGAATGTCTTAAGTGAAATATTTTCTAATAATAATGTTATATCTAAGTCGGAAGTTAAGAAAACCCTTAAAAAAATGTATATCTTTCATAATATAAAAGCATTTTTGTTAAAAAAAAAAAAATTAGGTTAATAAAATTATATTTTTTTTATATTATTTTAACCATAAAGCCTAACTTAAAAGGTTATTTTATTAACCTGTCTTATATAATGTGACTCAAGACCCTGAAAATCTATTATTTTTAAAGACGAAGTATCATATTGGGACTTTATTTTAACGCTAAAGTTAAAGTATGATAACAAAGGGAGCTTAAACTGCTTTAATTTTCAAAATATTAATAAATATTAAAAACTAGTTGTACATAATACGAAACTATAATACATATATTTTTACCTTATTATATAATATTTTTATATAACATTACAAAAACAACTCATTACCTAAAACGCAATATCCATTAACTAAAAACAAATACAATCATCTCGAAAACGGGATCTTTAATAACTCTGAAGATTATGTTAAACAAACCCATTTAATAATTCTACCTGGTTATGGATTTTAACCCTTCTCATTCGACTCTCGTTTCCATTTGAATAAACGACACCCCGAAAAGTCCAAGCAACCGCTTCCCCCTCACTCTGTCACTGTCAATTTCAGACTTTTCAGGCAAGCGATAGAGTCATAATTTTAAAGCCATATAAGAGTATGTATGAGATATCGGAATGGGATTTGGGTTGGGCGCACCCCCAAAAGAGTACGTAAACCCCTCTTGGCCAATATAAATTCTTGTAATTTAATTTTGCAATTGCAAAAGGAAGAACAAGAAGTAGAAGTACACACACACACATGCCTAGCGTAATCTCGCACAGAGCACAGAGAGATATTAAAAGGCAACTCCTGATGCTATCGGAGACCACAACCCGGGGCTTCCTTTTGCTGTTTTTTTGCCGCCAACCCTCGGAATAACTGTGAAAATGTTTGGCATTCCATAGCCAAAACCCAAGCAACAACAATAATAATGACGACGACGACGACGACGACTATCAGTTTCTACAGACGACGAAAGGAATGACAAAATTTCGCCTCTGGCTTGTCACAGAGTATCTGAACCTCTACTATCATACCATATACATACATATATAGTATATACTCGTATCTGTACCTTTTTCATATTGCAGGAGGCACAATGGTTAGCAACGGCAACGAATGAAGCCGTTTTGGAGTTGGGGGGGTCCTTCTCTGCCAACGTATACGATTTTCCTATGGCCACAAGTACATAAGGGAAAAACCTTCTATATACCACAAAAGGCGATACAATTAGTTGAAAAGCCCAAGTGCGATTCGATGTTGGTGTATATACACATACATACATATGCCATTCGAAAGGGAGGGTTGCTCTGCCAACGTCGCTGCCAGGATATTGTCCTCCTCCGTTTTATAATTTTCAACCAGAAAGTATAGGTGGGAAGGGGAGAGAGACAGAGAGCACTTTGTATTTTATCCTGCTTTTGTTAACGAAACGACAGGGCAAAACGAAAAACTGATAAATGTACATAAAATGGAAATGAGAGGCTTTTGTTAAACGTTTCGCTGATGGGCGTTTCGGTATATAAATCGACACCGAAACCAAAAACCTTTCTCGAATTTAAAACCCTCTGCCCTCTCAACGCCTACGTCGACGCTAGCAGCGATGCCAGCGCAGGCAGCGAATGAAGCTGTGCACGCGAAGAAATTTCGAGACTTTTTCGTTTTGGAATTTTCTAAAAAATTAAATTAAAAAAATTAAAATTTAATTCGAAATAAGTTTGAGGGTAGACCTAAATTATGTCTAATCTGTTTTTTCAATTTAAAAAATGTTTTTGCTTTTAAATTTTTTTTTTAATAATAAAAATTGTAAATACGAATTTCTTGTCATGCAGTTGCTAACCCATGGACTTGTATAAAATCCATATAATTTATTTTGGATTTTAGCTACTTTTGGGTATTACTATTTTTTGCAGTGTAGCTTACCATATAATCTTTAAAATTTTAAAATTGTTTGCCTAAGTATGTTCTTTTTTCTTATGTGCTGTACACATGGTAGCTTAATATAGTTACCATTATAATACCAAGAATAATAACCCATAATCTGAAAGATCTAAAAGATATTGATCTAATATTAAGCAACCCCATTTCTACAAGTGTAGCTGACAAAGTGAAGATTTCGACTGCGCTTCTTCTAATTAGTTTTAGGCGTCTAAAAATAAGTTTCTGTTTAGTGGAAACTGAAGGGCAGGGGCGGTGGGCGGGGGGTGCCAATGAGGGTTAGAGTGATATAGTACATATTTCTCATCTGCTGCGTGATAATTCAATTAGGAATGTGTGAATCAGCAGCAACAACAACAACAACAAACAGAGCGGCTGCTGCAGCAAGCGTTGCAGCGGAAGTGCAGCTGAGAAAGGGATAGAGTAGAGGAGGGAAAGAGAAAGGCAGAGGAAGAGAGGAGAAATGTGTGTTTCCTCGATAGAAAAACCAGAGCAAAGAGGAAAGTGCAAAGAGGGAGAGGGAGAGTGGGATAAGGGAGATAGGATACGATAGGAAAACCATCCATGTCCATGTCCATTTCATGTTGCATGCAACCCTGTTTTTTTTTTTATTTCGATTCCAGCGTAGATGTGGCAGGAACAGAAAGTTGTTGGTCCCTCTGCTATTGCTGTTGCTGCTGCTGCTGCTGCCTTTGCAACGGCAACAATTTATGTCCATGTATTTGTGTTGGTACATAAAAATAGCGGTCGAGGCAGCCACAACGCCAGCAGAGCCAAAGCAGCGTCAAAAGCAGAGCAAAAGCAGCAAACGCAGCACCAACAGCAGCAGCAGCAGAGGCACAGGCACAGGCACAGGCACAGGCACAAGCAGTGGCGGAGAGGCAGACGTTAAAGACTCAATGAGCGGAGTGGCAAGGGGGTGCCACAGAGTGGAACGCAAAGAGTAAGGGTACGGGAACAACGGGGGTCGAGGGCACTATGTGCGCAGCTTGTGCGCCTCGAAAATACATATTTCAGCATGAAGCATGGGCATGGGACATTGAGTGCGGGCAGAGGCTTAGGGCAGAGGGGTTTAATTAGGCGTGTTTGTAGAGGCTACAGAAGCAGTATGAAAATTTGATTACTTATGGCAAAGTTTGATGAAGATGGTTTCTTTATTGTTTAAGATGTTTAAAATGAATAAATTTATCCGCAGAAAAGGGATTGATTAAGCATCTAAGCAAGCTAAAATTATAATTTAATTTTGTTAAGTTTTCATTATCAGTATGACTTTTAAGTTCCTTACCCAACCCTCTTTTTCATATACCAATTTTAATCCCTAACCATCAACCTCTTAACCTCGATAACCCCCTTTGCAACACCCCTGTCTGAGTATCTTGTATCTTGCAGTTTGCTGTGCATACACAGGCACATGCGACTTTGTATGTACAAAATGCCATGTACAGCAAGCATTTGCTAGGTATGTTCGTATATACGTGTCTATGCGTGTGTGTGTGTGTGTGCATATGTAGCTGCATGTATGTACTCAAGTGTGCGATAGTGTCGAGGACGTTAACGTTGGAAAATAACAGCAACAACACTAACAACAGCAACT